TGTAGTACATACTTCTTTTGCTCTCTAGTATTCTTGATTTGTCTACCTTGGCTGCTTTAATAGCGGCATCAAGCTTATAGCTCGATAATTTGGCAATTCATTTGGCTTTAATAATCAGGTTTATGAAGAAAAACTTCATACTTGCAGACTTTGTACTCATTTCTATCCTTGCCCAATTTGAACAACCTGGCGTTACACATTTATTGAAGCTACTGGGCATGGTTAAAAATTAAGACAGCATAAGCACAATTATTCCAGATATTACAGGTTCTGACAAGTAAAGAATTTTCATAGTCGTGCCACAAATAAGCTATATATTGATTATTGACCATTTGTGACAAGCCATAACTAGCAAAAATTTAAAAAAAAACTAATAGGTAAGTTTAAAATTAATAAATACAAATGTATTCTGACAGTGAATGAGTTAATTATGCTTTCTATTTGTAAAATTCCTTAACCTTAACACAAAATAAGAAAAAAAGTGAATTTTTAAGAAATTTAGGGGATTTCTCAGGTTAAAAGAACAACCGGAATCCCGTTTGAGAAACCCTAATACACACTATTTGTCTCCTGAAACCAATAGAGGAATTAGATATATAAGTTGTCTTTTAGGAGATTTTCAACAGTATTCATTCTATAACATTCTAAAGTCCAAACATAACTCAAATTTGAACTAATGTTTTACAGTTTGTTTCATTCTGTTAAGAATTTTGTTTTTCTTTTGAAGCTGGAAAAAGTCATTAAATTTATGGCCAGAAATGTTCACTATAGGTAAACTTAATTATTGCTGGACTTAAAGGTTTAATTAAACAATTAAGGATTTTAAGAATACCATTACTGTCTGTTTTTACGATTATTTTTAAGGATACAAAATTAAAAAGAGAAAATATACTTGGGATAAGATGTCATTTAATGAAAATATAACAAATATTTTAAATGCAACGAATGCAAAGTTCCTAATATTACAGCATAGTAAAATGCCTTGCAAAAGGTTTTCAAAATAGATGATGGAACAAATGATAAAAAAAAAAAGAGCAATGAAAGTAAAATGATTTTTGAACTGTAGATAAAATGTAGAGTAAACATCATTACAAACTAAATAAATTTTTACGGAAAAATATAACAAAATCTTGTAAAAGTGTCAACAGTTAGAACATCTTGAATTTACTTTTAAATTCTGTTTTTTTATATTGTTTGTTTGAAACATATTCCATTAATAATTAAAGGCACAAATCACTTTTAGGCTAATCTGGTTTTAGAATAGCTAATTTAAAAAATAAGACTATTTATAAAGGTAATTAAAAAAATATATGCAAGATGTTTTTTTTGGTGATGTCCTGAGCATGATGAATGCACATCTGTTTTAGTTCCCCAGTGAGTGAGCTCAGAAAAAGCAAGAACAGATCTTACATTTGTTCAAATAATCATGTAAAATCATGTGGACAATTTCAACTCACCTGCCAATATTCTATAGGTCACATTCTGATCCTTACCTAATATTTAATGCACTTTTTCAGTGTTATTGTCTGTAATTGACATTTCAGATGACCACTTTTTGTATCATTTTCAATTGACTTGTAGCCATCTTTGATTTGATTAAACCAAATGTAAAATTGTATATAGGCTAGGCAATTATCCCCATATACTTGTTTTAGTAACTTAAATGTTTCAGTAAAGTTTTCTTTAGTTTCACACAGAACTTAATGTTGGCACATTGCTCCTTGCAATTTTCTGATGAGGGTCACAAAATAACCCTTACATTTCATGCCACACAAAGAATTATGTAAGCATTGAGTTTATGATCATATTTTTTTTGTTTTACCATTTGCTCTTTTTTGATGCCTGATGGCAAATATGTGTGTTTAATTTGCACTTTCTGGAATAATGGTCTTTGAGGAAGAACAACAATGACTTTGTGTTCAATAAAGAGAATTAAATCATTCTCTCCCAAAACCTAAGGTCTGGTGTTGGAAAAAATTTACTTCACTAATGTTTACGGGTTCCTTCAGAGTCCTGCTTCAGATGAATGTTGCTCTTTCTTTGACAGAACACCAATTTAAAATAAAAATTTGAATGTTCAAAAATATCAAATCATTATATTGTATTGAAATATCCATTGCAATTAGAATGGATTTAAAAATGGGAGGCATTGGATCATTTGCCTAAGCATTATGCAAAATGGGATAAAATGCCATGTGTGAGTATGGGCATGTGCCATAGGCCCTACNCATATAATATCTTTTATTTAAATCGAAATGCATTTCAGACTTTTAGTTCCTCTTCAGTCAAAGTCTGAAATGCATTTCGATTTAAATAAAGGATATTATATGAAGTAAGAATTGTCTTCTGTGTCGACCATTAACAAATCTAGTGAAAATTAGATAGAATAGCAATCACTGAAATGATAATGAATTCTACTAGATACAAAGCAAACAACAATAGCAAGATAATTATATATTTTAATAAAATTTCATACAATTAAAAAAAATGTGTAATTTTCAAAATATAAAAGTTTTGAAGTGAGTGAATTAATCAAATATTACTTTTTATTTACACATTAATGTAATTTTGTTTTATAACAGATAGTATAAAAATTTAATTTCCTTTATTAATTAACAAACTCTTATTATATTTATAGATTATATTTATTACAATGTGGCACCTACAGGACTGGAGTAGTGCAAATTATCAAAATGCCAACTTGTCACATGTTTTTATATTTTTGTATAATTTGATAAGCTATGTGCAATCTGAATTTTATAGATATTACTGCACATTTTGTACCAGACATACTACTGTATGCTTTTGATTTGTTTATACATACTTTTTAATCAGTCTAAAAATGATAGTGCATGAATATACTGTAATTATGATTGATTGAAAAACATAATGTCAGGATTATTGGACAATTCTGGAGTTCAGTTACTTTTTAGAGGGTGTACTGGATTATCAGATATTCAATATTATCAGGTGCAGGATTAATGAACTTTTATTGAATATATCTTTGTTATATATTGATTTTTGTAATATGATTTAAACAAAAAGTAGCAATTGTCATGGTGCACTTCTGGGGACATGAAAACCTTGTATTCAAAATCATTCAACCATACCATGCACCAATTTCTTTATTTGTTAATTAAATAAAAGAAATTTGAATAATTTTGTGATCAGAAACATTATTTTTGGTATAAATAATATAGATAGATGTGGGCTATAAGTGTATTAATCCAAAATATTTGTATTGTAAATATTATGGAGATTTGCATTTTTCTTAAACAAAATGAAGAAAATGAAAAAATACTAACTTGCTTTATATTCAGAGTATAAAGATGATATTTATATTTACTTATGATGAAATTTAGAAAATAAAATGTTTTACAAGGTATTATTATTATAATTTTTAAATTAATAACAAGGTTTAATTTTAAAAAATACAAGTATTTTTTCATTTTATAGATAAAATACATCTTTAGCCTATTTAAATATTATCTTAAAAATAGAGACCCTTCTGCTGCATTACATCTCTGGCTCTGCAAATGCCAATTGTGGAATGGATCTTAAGTTCATTCCACAATTTGGTCATAATTTCCTGTTAGTCTTATAATGTTGCCCTTTTAATGCTTACTTGAGGCATGAAAAAAGAAAGAATTTGCCTGTGACAAATCTGGGGATAAGGGGCTGAGGAACAAGAGGTAATGAATTTCATACTAAACATCCTGTAATGGCCTGGTTGTGTGTAATCTTGCATTGTCACATTGTAAATGCCAAGTTTTTTTCTTACACAAATCCAGTTGTCTTTTTTTTTTTTTCTTATCATACTTGCTTTCTTAGATGTTGCAAAACAACAAGTATTGAAATTTTTTCCAAATGGCACATACTCATAGCACTAATCTATGGTAATTGAAATATATAATAATTATAAATTTTACATTTGAATTATCATGCATGCTTTTTTTTGGTCAGGGATTTGTTTATTTACTGGAATTTCCTTTAGTTTAGTGTATGCTGTATCTTTCTATATGTTATACATGTTCTAATAATTGCATTGATTACTACTGTTCTTATAATGATTTGAAGTTAATATCAACAGGAACTATAATTTAAATGTTTTTTATTCAAATATTATTTTGGCTATTATGAATTTGTTAAAAATTTTATGATGGTATATTTAGTACATTGTGTAATATGGAAGTAGGGTGACCCAGCTTTTCTGAATATCATAAACTGACACAATTTGGAACAATTTGTGCTAGTTTTTACATTAGCTAAGAGCTAATTATTTTACAATATTACATTTCTTCAGAAATATTTGACTTCTTCACAAATAAATTAGGAAGGAATAAAATTTGCTTATACTGTACTTTTAGAAGTCACATAAATTTAAGAAAAATTTGTTCCTTTCTAACTTAAAATACAGTATAAAGATAGTTGAGAAAATTATGTTACTTGATCATGAAACCATATTAAAGAATGCTAAATAAAATAATAAATGCATGATATGATAAATATCCAACATTGTACTATTTATCAGACATTAAGTGTGAATACTGTTCCAGCATATATATTGAAAATGTATGAACTGATGAATCATGTTTGACAATCAAGCATTATCTTTGCACCCAGGGTATTTATTTTGTTAGTGAAAATAACATTGGTGCCATTTTTATCTGATGTAATTCTACATTGATAAAAATACTTTTTATATTTTATGTTTTTTGCAATCTTAAATTTAATGGTAAAGTTAATTTATTAAATATGATATTTGTTATCAAAATAATTGTTATGTACATTTTGTTTAACACTAAAAAATGTATTTCACTTACTTTTCATTAATGTTTTACTAATAAAAATTTGAGTTTTAGATTTAACCAGTTTGGAATTTTTAAATAGTTGAAAGTAATAATATTTTATTAAAATAAAAATTTAATTATTTTCTATAAGTAAATAAATTTTTAAAATATATATTTTTTAGTATATTAATAAGGTTTTACAATTTTCAGATAAAATGGTCAGCATCATCATTAGATGGTTATCAACAACAACGTAACTTGAATCTTCACGAATATCTTAGTATGGATTTATTAAAAAATGAAGGCGTTAAAGTACCAAATTTTGGTGTTGCTTCAAATTCAACAGAAGCAGAACAAATAGCACAAAAGTTAGGTAATATTTGTTAATAGATTGAAAGTCTATAAGATATAATAATAATTGATTTAAAGCACTTTTTAAATTATAATAAAATGATTTTTTGTATAAAGATTTTTCAAATTAAGTGAAATTAATATTTTTTTTTATATAATTTTGCTAATGTAAATTATCAGTGTAAAATTAAATTATTCATATTGTACTCTAAAAAATGAATTTTATTTGTTTTTCAAAATGATATTTGTTGTATAAAAAATGATGTTGTGATGATGGTGGTGTAAAATGTTCCCATTTACACGGTCTAAAAGAACACAGTACACACTTTTTTGTAACAATAACAATACAATGACACTTTAATGTCTCCAAATCTACGAGTGACTCTCTGGCACTCCACAATCGAGCAACACTCCAGCACCTGACAATTATTGGTAATTACAACACTGGTTCCTGACCAGCCACACAGCTACCCACTCTGGTTAGCTCCCGGTCAGTACTGCGGTCAGCACTCCCCTCAGTACTGCCTCCACACACAACACTCACTCAACACACCCACACCCAAAGGAAAGCACACAAATTTTCCCTCTCTCACAATTTCTCCCTCTCTAGCCAGGACAATCTTCCCCACATTCTTGGGGATAATATTACCTCACCCACCTGACACGTGTGACAAAGCTGTGGACTGTCCATCAACACTTGCTGACATCTACACACCTGACACATGTCTGACACATGTTACAATTGAACTTAACAACATTCAATATTTTAATCAAAATATAAAAGAATTTTTATAGAATTTTAAGAATTTTTTTATATAAAAGAATTTTTATATTTTGATTAAAATATCAGTAAAAAATGATGTGTGATCTGATTTTAATTTTAATTTTGTTGATAATTTTAAAGTCAATATCATTTTTACCTGTATTTAAAAAGCTAAAATAGATGTTGTATTTGATTTTATATTACATTATAGGAGGAAAAGATTTTATTTTAAAAGCACAAGTATTGGCAGGAGGGCGTGGAAAGGGACATTTTGACAATGGACTAAAAGGTGGTGTTCAAAAAGTTTTTTCGTAAGTTCATCTTTCTGTTAACATTTTAGATATTTATAATCTTTCTAAAATAGATGAAAATCTAAAAATTAACTCTTATTTTAATTGAATATGTTGTAATTTTTTTTAATATCAACATATTTTGCACTAATTGATGTTTACCTTTTTTCCCATGTCTTTAAAATAAAATATTCATCAAAAGAAGACTTTTCTTTTAGCAAAAAATTCTAAGAAATCAAATATGCTGCTTAAGGAAAATGACTACAAATATTGTTCATCATTTTATTTACAGATTATAAAAACAATGAACTAAAAACAAATTAAAACTATATATTTTTAATTTTGAAATAACATTTATACACTTCATTATGTTCCAATATTTTTATTAGATATTTTATTTTGGATAGTGAACATCATTAAATCCTAAAGCCAAATGATTGCTAATTTGGCACTAGAGGTAGGTGTTAAGTGCCATCTCTTGCAAAAGTTAATTAATATTTTAACAATTAATTTAGAAGGTTCTGGAAGAAGCTTTCCACTGTTTTAAACCAATATTTCTACTAAATTTAATAGAAATCTACTAAATTAACATATTGATTACCAGCAATAGCAGTTTATTTGATGTTTTGATCAATAGTCCAACTTGTGTTTTGCTGTGTCATTAACAGTGGATTTCATTCATTAACAGTCATTAACAGGGCTGTCAAATTGTTTGTGCACTCAATTGTTTTCATTATACCACATTTTTATGTGACATAAAATGTATGAATTTCCAATAATCTGGCAATTTTTTTAATTCAACACTGACCAGTTCCATATGTGTTGGATTAGTAAGATTGTACTGTATATTGAAAAACTACAATTGGTTAGTTTTGATCCTGTTTTTATCATTTGAAATCTAAAAATATTTTAAGTTTAAAAAATTTTCTATTCTTAATATATGTTATAAATTAATTCTAAATTTAATTTTAATTTTTATGTAGAATAATAGAATTCTTTATTAAAGTATCTTTGGAATGATTAAAAGTTTCATATGTAATTACAAAGTGATTAGAATAAATTGATATACTGTATATAAACTACCACTTTCTTTTTGTAGACCAAAAGAAGCTAGTGAAATGGCATCTAGAATGATAGGTGGAATGCTAATAACAAAACAGACAGGTTCTAAAGGACAGCTTTGTGAAAAAGTTATGATAACTGAAAGGCTTTATCCAAGAAGAGAATTTTATTTTGCAATTGCTTTGGAACGTGAATATGGGGTAAACATTTAAAAAATTTTCAAAACAATTTCAGAATTTGCAATAATTAACTATATATTACTTATAATTATTTAGTATTTAACTATTCTTATGTAAAAAAGTTAAATGCTTTTTAATGAAAATTTTTAACATAAGAGAAAATTGTATCTCTTATCATACTTAGTCAAGAACTAATGTTAAATAAAATAGTCAATGAATAATTAAAAATTTTATCCAGAATCCCTATGATAAAAATGATAAATACTTATATTTGAATTATGGTATTTTATGTAGGAATGATAGTTTGCATATATATACAGTAAGGCCCCACTTAACGTGGGGGACACGTTCCTAGATGACAAAGTGCTAAACGAAACAGTGTTAAATGAGGTAATTTTAACATAGAGTAAATAGGGAAAGGGGAACATGCAACCAAAAATAAGCAAATTTTACTATAATATTAAGTTATTTTTATATTAATTTGCATAATATATGTCAAATAACACAAACATATGTACACAGAAATGTAAAGTTCATTTTTTGTGATGAAGATCCTGGCTCTTCTGAAATTCTTGTTTTTGCCATAAAGTCATGTAGTTTCATTTGTCACTTTTTTCTTTCCTGAAGCAAATGTTGGTAGCAGAAGATTGCATCCAAATTGCCTCATTTAGCTTTTGCACTCCTTTCAAAATCTGGATCATTTGCTACAATTTGAACAACAATTTCAGTTATAGTTACCAAACTTTTACTAAAGAAATCTGTAGAGAAATTTTTTGGGTTCTTTGTTTTCAGAATCTGTTTTACAGTTCTACATAAATTCCTTGTTCTGCCAATTCTTGAAGGTTGTCATTGGTAAGGCTCTCACCAGAAATGCGCAGTAACTTCTCAATATCTTGCTCATCTACATCTCCTAGTCCTGCTGTATCGATTAGGTTGACAGTTTGGTTAACCTAACGATACAGCAAAAGGCTCTTCTTGTTGAGAATACTTGGATACTTTCAGCATTAACTTCTTCCACACGTAATTCATGCATTTATGTTATTCTTACCAAGCAAAGTCAATATTGTCTATGGCATCCATGATGTTATATTTTTTCCAAAATTACACCAAACAAACATAGATTTAAGGAAAGTACAGTGCTACAATGAATTGCCACCTTTTGCTGATTGGTTTGTGTTTGGGAACAATCAATGAAATGACATGATAATTTGAATCAGCCTAAATTTTGAGCTTTTTTCAGGCTTTGAACAGACCACGTTATATCAGGGCAGCATTAAGTGGGGTATGTGTAATATATATAATGTTATTTATATATATGTATGTTTTTATATAATGTAAATAGTCAGGATAGAATAGGATGAGAAACCAGCTAAGTCATCCTATTACACAGGTCAACAGTGGTTTTGGTGCCCAGGTATTTTGAGCTGATTTCATATGAATTTGATGTCCTGAATTCAAAAATTCCGTATAAAAATTCCGTGTTTAGTTTTTTCACTTGATCCATGGATTTAACTTAAGATATTGAAACATATATTTTGCTAAAGTGCTATATCTTAAAAATTAGAGCTCCTAGGCAAAAACTAATGCCATATTTGAATTCAGGACATCAAACTCATATGAAATCAGTTCAAAATACCTGGGCACCAAAACCACTGTTGACCTGTGTAATACAAGACGTTNATTGATGTACAGTAGAATCTTGTTTTAATGGATTGTGGAACAATGGATTTTTTCTCAGGTTTCACCAAATCAATATAATTTTACCTTCTTTTAGTGGATTCATAACTCGAGTAATGGATTTTTTCTAGCTCCATCTATTGTAAACTTTGCAATTTTCAGTGTTTAGCTAATATTTGATTGCTTCCAGAAATTTGAGTTTAATGATACACTTGTTACATCTAGGATATATACAAAAATAGAATGATAAGTAATAATTTTGGTAAAAAAATTACATGAAACTTGATACCCATATTTGGCCAGGATACAGATAATGCTAAGGCGTATACCGTAGTCAACGTGGCAGGGTATGGCCTGGCCCAGCCAAAAAATTTGCAAGGGCTCTGGATGCAGGGACAGTGTCTGGACGCAAGCAAGCTAGTCCAGAAAACCTGAAAACAACAACACAAAATATGAGAAGGGAAAGATATTGAACAGATGAGGGTGGCGATGCTCAATGTTGGTATGATGTATGCAAGGTGCGAGTTTGTTGCACGGCCCTGTGGAGGCGACACATAGACATTTGCGCACTACAGGAAACCAGATGGAGTGGGGAAAAGTCATGTGACATGGAGCAAGAGCGGAAGGAACATGGCTACAAGCTGATCTACTTTGGCAGCCCTCACACTCCACAGTGGCGTAGGCATCGCCATCTCAGAACGAATTTGTAATGCAGTTCAATCAGTCCATCAATACAATGACTGTCTCATGAAGATTGTCATCGTGACACCGCACAGGACTATCCATGCTTTTACTGCTTATGCGCTGCAAACTGGGCGACTGGAGTCCAAGAAGGATGCATTCTGGCAGCTGCTTGACGACCAGATGCGTAATGTGCTAACTACAGATTACGTCATTGTTGGTGATGACTTCAATGGCCATGTTGGGGAGACTGCTGATAGAAGCCGATGTCATGGTGGCTGGGGCTTTGGTCAATGCAATGACGATGGTGAATGCGTGCTTGACCTTGCTGATTCCCATGATCTTGTCCTCACCAACACCTGGTTCAAGAAACGACTGTCACAACGGCCCACTTTCTACAGTGGATACACAATGTCACAGATCGACTGTGTCTTAGTCCGACGACTTGACCTACACTCTGTCATTGACGCAAAGGTCATGCCATATGAGACAGTGGCTGCACAACACCGACCCGTCATCGCAATGCTTCGCATCAACCCGCCGAAACTGCCTGATGAAGATCGAGCCGGCCCACCACACATCAAGTGGTGGAAACTGAGTGGCAGAGAGGCAGAGACCATTGCACATATTCATCTTCCAAAATATAACAACTGTTGAGGAGACATGGCAGAAGGCAAGACGGCCTGTGAGTGAGGGACCGGGCGTCTTGCAGAGACTAAATCAGGATAAGTCCACTTGCTACAGTTGTTACGATTGATTCCATTAATATTTACTAGACAGAAATAACAGTCATTAAAGTGATTTTTGGGTTCTCTCCAAACCATTGGTACGCCAAATTTTAGACTTTTTCTTTTCCCATCAGTCCACTGTCGTAAATGTTCTGTACAAGTTTTACAGACCTGATACTAAAAAAGTAGAGCTGATAGAGAAAAACTGATAGAGAAAATTTCATATTTGGATTCAGCGACCCAAATATAGCTAAAATCAGTTCTAAAATCCTAGGCACCAAAAAAAAATTTTTTTTTTTGTTGACCTGTGTTATGCAATCTGTTTTGCTGCTATTTTCTAGTTTACAATCTGCTTGGCTTTTGTAGTCATTGCAGTTGCTCCTAGTTAAATGAATAATTGGAATTAAATTTTTCTTGGATTCTGGAGTTCTCTTTATTCTCATGGGGTGATGTTGAAGTCAATCTTTGGCCAGTAATAAGTGATAAATTTTTAATAAATAAGTAATGTGGATTTTCACTAGGTCAGAAAAGTATCTGGACACCTATAAGATGAAAGAGTTTTTAGTTATAAATCATTTCTTACATAGGAAAAATATAATGACAGATCTGAAATCCTCAGACTTTTTTACACTAGAAAAAATATTTAAATATGCAAAAAAAAAACATTAATCAAAAAAGAGATATAATTTTATTTCAAACTGTGAAATTTTTTGCATTGTGAAAGTAACTTGGCAGATGAAATAGTTAAAGTATCTTTGTTTTTTTTTTTTCTTGTAAAAGAAAGTCAATCAGTCTTGTTAAAGAACTTGTTATTAAGGAATGGCAAAATGGAAAATCTATAAAAATCTTTCAGAACAGTTGCACATTCCAAAGTCCACAATACAAGATATAATTACAAAATTCAGAATAACAAACACTGTAGTATAGGTCTCAATCTGGATGCCCTGAAATATTTACTTTGAGATAGAAATGTGCCATCATTAGGAAAGTGAAGAAAAATCTATGAATAAGTGCTTCTAAGCTTGCTGCTGAGGTTTCTGTAGAATTTTGAATAAAAATATCTGCAGAAACTATGAGAAGAATGTTTGGAAAGTGATTATAAAAATTGTATAGCTAAGAAAACTGTTTATCAGCAGAAAAGGTTAAGTACATTGAAGGATCTAACACTAATAATTTGTGACTAATAATTCATGATTATTCTATGTACAAATGTACTTTATAGGTTATTTTTGACTTAAAACAAATCCTCTAGAACCTAACCTGTTTGTAAGTAGGGAAACACATTTATTCAATTATATTAACTATACTGGAAAAATTAATCAAAATTTGACATTATACTGTAATAAACAAAAAATCACTATTTAATTTTTTAATTTTGAATTATATCCTGAGTCAACATTGAACATTGTAAATTTATAAAAAATCACTACTTTAAAGTTATCAAAAAATTTGTATTTAAAATATTTTCAGTCTAAATTTAGGTCATTTCTCAATAACTAACAAACTTTATAAACAGAAAAGAACATTTTAAATGATTTACAGCAGTGTTTTTCAACACGGGGGTCGCGGGTAAAAGAAAAAGACAAGTGTTTGTAGGTTCTACACTACAATAAAAAAATTACAATTTCAGTGAGAAGGCTGTGCCTGTTTATTTTTTAATAATTTGTCAAAACGTGGTTTTATTTTTGAGACGCAAACAACTAAATCATTTTCTAATTGAAGCCTATTTCTCTTTTTAGTTTTTATGTCCACCATTGAAGAGAACGTTATTTCACATAGGTAAGAAGTGGCGAATGGCACTAATAATTTTAAAGCCTCTCTTGCCAGTTCTGGATACATTTGTTTTCTTTTCATCCAGAAGACGTCAATATTTTGCGAATGAAATTCCATTTTAAGCATGCCGTCAGCAGCTAAATCTATAAGATTTTCTTTCATCTTCGTGGTTAGATCAGCCAGTTGTACTGACATATCTATGAAAGGATTTAATATCCATCTATGCCCATAGTCAGCTTCAGAGTCCAGTTTTGGAAAGTAAGTTAATAGTTTCTCTTCCAAATTATGCAAGCTCTGTATCATGCAAGGGATGTGAGAACTTACTACCAACAATTGATCCATTGCCGTTTCTTCGACAATCTTCTGAACACAAGGGAAAGACTCATATATATTTTTTTGCAAAGACGTTGACCACAAACGAAGTTTTGCGAAGAATCCTTTGATTTTATCTTTAGCTGTCAGAATGTTTTCTTCTCTCCCTTGGAGTTTCTTGTTTAAAATATTCAGGTGGCTAAAAAGATCAGCAAGAAATGCTAATTTTAGGAGCCAAACAGGGTCACATAAATAATTCGCATATTCAGATTTAGCACCTTGTAAAAACATTAACAATTCAGCTTTCAGTTCTAAAACTCTTGTCAATACCTTTCCTTTGGATAGCCACCTGACCTCTGTATGATAAAGGAGATTTTGATGGAGCGAACCCATGTCTTCACAAATGATTCTGAACAGTCGGGTTTGCAAGGCTTTACCTTTAATAGAATTCACAATTTTGATCACCTCTTTAAGCACTTCATTTAAATCAGAAGGTAAAACCTTGGCTACCAGAGCATGTCGATGAAGAAAGCAGTGTGTCCATGAGACATTAGGCATTATTGATTTTAATTTTGCAACGAGTCCGCTTTTTTGTCCAGTCATAGCTTTAGCGCCATCGCTACAAATGGCAATACATTTTGTCCAATCAATCTTGTAGTTGCGAGTGCTTTCTAAAAATATGTCGTACAAACACTGACCTGTGGTGTTTGAAGAAAGTGCTTTGCAAAATAAAATGTCTTCTGTGATACTTTCATCTGCTTCAAAGCGCACAAATACTACAAACTGTGCACAATCTGAAACATCAGTAGATTCGTCAAACTGCAAAGCAAAATGTGGGCTCTTCTTTAATTTCTCGACTACTTGTTCTCGAATGTCACTGGCCATATCGTTTATTCTGCGTTCAATAGTATTGTCAGAAAGTGGTATGCTTTTTAGCTTGCTTGCCTCCTGCCTACCTAACATAATTTCAACCATATCTAGGGCTGCTGGCAAAATAAGATTTTCGGCATCTGTATGCGGCTTCCCTGCTTTAGCAACTCGGTATGCAACTCTGTAACTAGCTAATAATGCGTTTTCGTTGACACTGGATACCTAAAAACAGACAAAAAATCAGAAAAACAAATAAATAATTAAGCAATAATAAATATTATTTTTAATCACCAAATAACAATACTATTTTATTACCTGAATCATAGTATTTTGCTGCAGGTTAAGGGTTTTCAGCTTACATTCAAAGAAATCCAGCGGTTTATCAGCTTCTTTGGGATGTTTGGTTGAAAGGTGACGCATAAGTTTTGATGGTTTCATACTCTCACGTGATAATACATCGCCGCAAATTACACATTGAGGTTTATTATTCATGACAGTAAATCCGTATTTCAAGTAATTGTCGTAGTAATGTCTGTTTTTTTTCGGTTTTGATTCACTTCCGTCACTGCCACTTGTACCAGACGTGGTGGGCTGCGATCTTTTGAGAAATTTATCCATTTTATGGTCTTGCGGAGCAAAGCGCAAAGACAATACAGTCACGTCTGTACTTGTTGGCGCATTCGCCTCCAGCACCCCCGTGGCAAAGTTACTATTTGCAGGGCTCTTGCGACTTATTTGCAGAGTACAATTGGTTTTTCGATTGATATTTAGGTCTCAACAGAAAGAAAATTAAATACGTAGTTTTTAAAATCACTGACATACTTTTAATATGGACCTGGGGGGTCGCCAAAATTTTTTAACTTGTAAAGGGGTCGCGTATTCAAAAAGGTTGAAAAACACTGATTTACAGAATTGAATATAGTTTCTCACTTTAAAACGAATGCTGATAAAGTAAATTCTCATATTAAAATGAATTTTGCTGGTTGCCCTGGTTAAATGCCATTGTCACAATGTTAGTTTTCATGTGGTAAAGTGAACAAAAATATTTCTAGAATTAATTAAACCTAACTGTAAATTACCTTCACAATCCCTAAGAAATAACTGTATTTACAGTAATGGTTGCTTTTTACATTTTACCACTTTTTATTGTAATAAATGTTCCATTTTGAGTAGAATAGATTTCCTTCTCCTAGTAAGCAAAGACGCAAAGACCAGTTGATTGTAGAGCAGTTCAAACATCTGTTTTAGTGGACCATTTTACTGTACTCAGAAAATAGGGGTTAATTATGGACTAGGGATTGTAAATTTACTGACTTTTTCATTTACTGGTAATTCGGTAAATGAAAATTAAAATACTGGTTTACCGGTAAATTTTTTTCTTGAAAAATAAAATTAAGGTGATAAAAAATATATAAGTCATTATGATATCCATTTCATATTTTTATTTCAAAGATATCAAATATAAAAAATACAAAATTTAAACTGTTATTCTAAACAAACTATAATAATAAATATATAAATAAACAGAAATAAAATAATACAGAAAAATAAAAATACAAGAGAAATAATATATAGTACCTAATACCATTTTATTGATTACCGTTTTTTAAAAAATTAACTTCTCAAGAAACTTAAATTATTTATAGTCTTTATCTCCTAATTTTGATCTGATTTTTGTACAAAATAATCCAGATCCTGAGAATACCCTTTCTGATTCAACACTTGTTGGATGAATGGTCATTAAATTAAAATTAAACAAAAAATATCTTACATAAAATTAATAATGAGGTATATTGTTGCTTATACTTACCTTTTTTTTTTAATTTTCAATGTCCCTTTAGCCCTTTTAAATATCTAGAAACACAATATTTTCTACATAGAAATTTCTAGTATGGATTTTTCATTTACTGAATTACCAATACATTTCAAAAATTTACCGGTAAGTTTACTGAATGTTTTTTTGTCAATTTATCGGTTAACCGGTAAATCGGTAAACTGGTATACAATCCCTATTATGGGCACTCATCCATTTTAAATGGATGTGGTCTCATGAAAAACATGCACTAGTTTGCATATCAGGGATGTACACAGTGATGCCAGATTTGGCTACTTTTTTGCTCTTTTGGTGACAAAAGATATTTTCTAATTTTTCAAACAATCTTTATGAGAAAAAAATCACAAATTTCTTTTAACTTTGTTTTGTTTAACCATTCTGATATACTGCTTTGTTACTTGTAAGTAATTATATATTTTTCATTTAAATTTTGTTTTTTGGTTCCATCAAGTAAATAAATGTGAAAGAAGTATGAACATTAATTGGAAAAATTTATTAAGATAGGTTTCTTTGGTAATAAACTTTGCCAATTAATTGCAAGCACACATTTTTACAACTTTTTAAATTTAAATTTCATGAAAACGTCTATTTTAAAAAATTTAATTTGTCTTTAACATGAAGCATTATTAATGTTATAATTTTCATAATTATGTATTACTTTTAATTGTATAAAAATATATAAATCTCATTTTGTTTGAAATAATAATTTTAATGTAGAAAATAATTTCATTAGTCTTCAGTGATTTTAATATATTTTCAATACATGAACAAAGCATGATATTTTTAACATATACAACCAACCTGATAACTAATTTAAATATCAAACAACCAACCAGATTCTTTCAGACTACTTCTTTAGTAGCTTGATAAAAATTCTGGCTGTTTGCATGATATTTTTATAATTTTAACAAAAAATCATTAAATTTCATTCTAAATATGATTCTGTCAAACTAGTAGAAAATACTCAAAATTTCTTCTAAAATAGCACCTAATTTTCATTTAGTTTTTATGAAAAATGTTTGCATAATTTTCTTTTTAAAAAAATTTTAATGTTTTTTAATATAAAAATAGTTTTTGCATATTTTAATGTATTAATTATACATTATAATATTTCAATTTACATGAATTATTTTTAAATAATTTAAAGATTATTTTTTTTATATATTTAGGGACCTGTAATAATAGCTAGTGCCCAAGGCGGTGTTAATATTGAAGAAGTGGCTAAAGAGAATCCTAATGCTATTATAAAAGAGCCAATAGATATTATGACTGGTACAAATAAAGAACAATTATATAAAGTTGCAAAAGAGCTTGGTTTTTCAGACAATTGTTTAGATCAAGTAAGTTTATCATATAGTTTACAGTTGTCAGGTAAAGTAACAAATACACCAAACCACCTTAAAATGCTGCAATACTTTAATAACAGAAGGTTGTTTGGGTGTGTTTAAGTTTATCATCAGATGATAAATTAATTTGATTTTATATTTTGTATTTAAAATTATATAAAGATTTTAGAAATGTGATTTATATAAAACATCTTTTAGATAAGAATCAATGACGAAAAAATTTCAAAATTGGACAATATTTTTTATGAAGAATATTTGTTTTACACACAATTTATTAATTTGATTTCTTTTTTGATTCACATTTATCAATGCTTAATCATTTCAGTGAGATATTTGTAAAAGTCAATACATTAACAAATCCAAAAAAAATTTAAAACTTATAAAAAAATTTTATTAGAGAAAACTAATGGACTTAAGAATCAGTTAAACAAAAATCTGATAGTCTTCTTCTTCCAGTGTCAGCTTACCATACATATTAGTTATAGTTATATTAAAGCCAAACAACTGCCTCATTAAATTGTGTTATATTACTGCTATTATTAATTACTGAATAATGGGCATTAGGTCCCATATCTTATTAAAATAATTTATTAAATAATTTAGAAAATTATGGAAGAAAAGAATTGGCTCAGAGTGGAATTCAAACCCACAGCTGCTGCTTACATGCAGATGTGTTGTCAGTTATGCTACCTGGATCTCCATCCAATCCTTCACTTTCAAATTATTCAGTATTTAATAATTAATAGGAGTGGTAATATTGATATAACTCATTTTAATCTGGTAAAAATATGGCTTTATCTCACTTTAGTAGATTTTGAATCATTACACTCAAGTGTGAGTTAGGATAGAAAATGAAATACTGGATGAGTTTGAAGATAGGTACAATTTTTAGATGGTATGTAGATGATCTATTGATTATTTGGAAAGAAAAGATCAACATATTTTTTTATACATATGGATTTATAATGAGGTGGAAGAATATGAAATGAGGAAATACAGAAAGGTTGCTTTCAGACTAATTTAGACACTGTTTGATTTTGTGGGATTCATAAAATATTAAATAAAAGTAAGGCAACAGAATAAATAAAATAAAGACTAGAGAAAAAGTGGCCTTTGAGAATTACAAAAAGAGCATTTATTTTTGAAGTGAAAATTTTTGGTGACTGAATTATTACTCTTAAAAGATCAAGTAAATGATCATGGGTTGTGAATACAAGTTCAAAAAGATAGTTTTGAACATTAAAAAGAGAAAAACAGAAGACATAACAAATAAGGCTCCTTCACATTATGTGAACTCATGAGGTCTTAGGTTTTACAAATCCATAGAGAAGGCAGCAGGAAAAAAGATCATACTGAAGAGAAACCATACTTTTCTTGTTTGCTTCAGAAATGAGAAAGAAGAGCATAATTTGACATAGAAATTGAAAATCAGTATTTATAGTACTGATGGAAGTTGGTATTATAGCAATACAGGCATACCTCGACTTACGTCGGTTTCGAGTTACGTCGTTCCCGATTATACGTCGCTTGTTAGAAAAGTATATGGAAAAATAAAAATCAAGTTTAAGTCATTTTATTCGACTTTACGTCTGTCCGCCACAAATATTGAAGTCGTAATATCACTAGATAAACGTTTAAAGCACATAAAATCATATTAAAATATATACAAGTATGTACTGTATTTACAGTACACGCATTCGTAAATTTAGATTAGTTTTTTGTACTATATTAAAAACTAAAATTTATTTGTTTGTAAGCTTAAAATAGATTTTTATTAACCATATATTATTTAAAATGCTTTCCTAGTGATAAGTAGATTCGGAGACAGGTAAATTCTACTTACGTCGTTTTTCGACTTACGTCGTTTTCCTGGAACCAATTACCGACGTAAGGCGAGGTATACCTGTATTTTCACAAATGGGAAATCAGTCAGATGAATTTTTGTCAGAGCAACAAAGAAATCTAGACATCTGTGAGGTTTGCCAATAGGGAGAAGGTGGGAGGTTAACCCCTCTTATCAAGATGAACAAGGATGCAAAAGTAATGTGGGTGTGATTGTCAACACTGAGACAGTCATCTTTACAACACAAGCTGTTTATTTGGAAACAATGCTTACACAATTCCATTTGAGATTTTCTTCTCTCAGATATGTAGAAGATTCAGTCTGTGGTCAGTCTTTTATGTACTCTGACTGTGATCAGTTAGTCTCGATGCTGATCAGTGGCCCCAGAGCAAACCGGCTGGAAGTTGGCATAGATGGCAGGATGAAAATGAAATCAAAGATGACAAGAAAACCAACACAGAGGACAAACAGGTTGAAAGAGAGAAGTGACCTTTGCTCATATCTCACGCAATGATATTTTCTTTTTTGATGTTCAAGAATTTTTTTAATGTTTTTATAACTTACAATGCAATAGTTTTTCTTTAAAAGGAATGCTACATTTTCTCATTTATTTCTAAATTTTGTCATGTCTATGAGCATCAGAGTCAAAGCTTGATCTTTCCAATTGACATTCTAAACATTCCAACCTGTTAGTTCACAACTCATGACCTCATAGGATTGACCGTATTGTTTATTTCATACCTTCATGACAGATCTATTTCATACATTTTTTTATAGCAATATTTTCACAAATAAATTGAATTTTTGTATGTTTAATGAGATTTGAACTCTCTCTGGGACCTCACACACATCAGAATGAAAAGGAACATTTAGATTATTGTGTGAAAGGTAGGATGACAACTGCTTTAGAGATGTGTTCAATACAAATAAAGGAGTTAACTAGAAAGGCATGTGCTTAGAAAGAATAAGGAAGAATATATATTAAGTTAATATATAACCAAAAGATACATGTTTGGAAAAAGAATCAAGAATCAGAAATAGTTAATGTTATACATAGAGAAGCACTACCTTTCAGCATGGAAATGGATAATGAAGTTTAGTGGAGGAGAAAGAAAAAGTTCAATCAGAAATATTTTTTTTATAAAAAAAAAAAAAGGTTCAAAAGGTGGTGCTTTATTAGGATTTATCTGCTTGATGTTCTACTCATAGAATTTGTTTGAAACTTTTAACTGATAGAAAGAATATTGAATTAACTTTGAATTACTCAAATTGTCATTTTAATTGTTCCTGATGATGATCTTAATCAACTAAGACTACTTGGCCATTGATGAATGATGTTTTATGTTGGTATTCTCCAGTAAAATAGTTTTGTACAAGTTATATTTGTAAATGTTTCATTTAAAAAAATATGAAATATGTAACAAAAAAAAAACAAAAAAAATGCTTAAACCTTATTTTATTTAAAATGAAGTAAAAAAGAATCTTTTATTTATAAAATATAAAAAATTTAAGTAAGAATGTTTTTGTGTTACTTAAACTCTTTTTGAAGAAACATATTTTATTTTATTAGTTTTTAATTTGAAGTTAATATGACTCCATGTACATTTCCTGTACATTAAATTTTGTTAAGTGATAATAGAAATGTAATCTGATAAATTTACTTATTCTGCACTACTTAATAATGTTCATTATTTTCTGTATCAGTATTGGTAATAAAATGTTTTAATATTTTACATTAATATTAACATTATTTACTGATAATATTGTCTTAGACTAGAAAAATTTAGTGTTAATATATACTGTTTATGTATTTTATTTTCAGAATCTTGATTAATTATTATAATTCAATCAGTTTTATTACTAGATAAGTTTTTATTTTTAATGCTAGCTAATGCTATTTTTAATAGTAAGCTAATTTTCTGTTTTTATTTCATATTTTGTATAGTATGAGTTTTAAGTATATTTTTCATACTGATGTTTTGTTGTTGAGTTATGAAATGAACTGATAAATATCTGTAAACAGAACAATTTTAACAGCATTATAGGTCCTGGGCAAAGCAGTGCATTTGGCCTTGCCTACATAACTTGTGGGTGATTAGAAACAGTATTACATTCTGGTCTGTGCATAGATTAGCGTGAGGCCTCTGGGCAACTGCCTAATGTGTCCATGCATTACAGTGGCGTAGCGTGGGTGTCAGTCGCCCAGGGTGGAGGAAAATTTCGTCACTCCCTTATTTAGGTATCTCAATTGAAAAGACTAAAATTCAGTTTTGTCACAGAATAAGTAATGAAAAATTCAGTGCTCATTTCAATCAGTCTGAATCGTAGGTGGGACAAGAATATGAAATAAAATGGTTCAAATTTTTACAAGATATTTATTATTATTATTTATTGTGAAATTTTGCCGCCCTGCCGCCCCCACCACACTACGCCACTGATGCATTAAGATAGCACTGTTTGTGAACTAAAATACAAAACAACTAAAAACATGCTGAAAAAATTCTTTTGAATATTTATTGTTTATTTTTTTGTGAGAGAATCATATTTGAAATTATTTGTCATTTCTTTATTAATTAAAATATTTGATTTTATGATTGCTTTCATTTAAATATTTTATATTTTCATTTAGGCTGTGGAGATGATGGAAATATTGTATAAAACATTTTTAAAATATGATTCGGTTATGATAGAAATTAATCCAATGATTGAAGATGCCTCAGGAACAGGTAATTAAGTTCTTAATAAAATTTTATGTTCAATATATAGAAAATTTTTTTAAGTTTTATGTTACAAAGAATATTTCATTAACATAAACATGCTTAATGGTATTATATAGTGTTAAATTAATTTATTATGTGAACACTATGCATGCATTAAGATTTCTTCAATAAGTAATAATATTCATGTAATATGCACATTATATATAATTTTATCTAATTACAAATTATGTTGAAGTTTTGCATGTTTAAAAGTAAATCTTCATTAGACAAAGAAATGATCCTAGAACAAATTTGAACTAAACTTTAACTTTAAAATCTACTCAAAATATCATTTTATCAAAAAGAATTTCTCTGTATTTGTAAATTTAAGTGTAAAGTTTTTTCTTTATTGTTTATCTTTTATATATGTTTAGATTTAAGAAAAATAATGAGCAAATATTAATGTAGTAATAAGAAAGTGTATATAGTACCTTGTACTCATTGGATGGGACCCCTTTTTTGTTGACTGAAAATAACTTTCAACACCAACAAAAATGATCTCATCATAACAGAATTAATATATGTTCAATACTTTTGAAATGAAAAGGCTGCAAGGGACTTTTGATAACTCACTCTGTATATTCATGTGTGGAAAGGCAGAGTGAATTTTTAGGATTTGATAAACTAAATACTTTTTAATGGGGACCAAGTTTTGGCCAATACTTTTTGGACCTCAAATATGGCATCTACAGTATGAAAAAAAAATGCTTATTATAAAAATATCAAGATTCCCAGAAGTTCAAATGTTAAGAACACCTGCAATTTGAACATAAATGATCATAACTTTGCATACTGTCAGGTTACATCTTCATTCATTCATTCATTGACACAAATTTTAATTTTTTATAAAAGGAAAACATAGAATAATAAATTTTAATAATCTCATAATGTAAATCAATATCTTGCATTTTATTTTATGTTGATTAATTAAAGAATAAACAATAAATATAATCTAACTACAAATAAATTAGATTATTAATACATCGAATTTCTTAAAAATCTATTTAATTTTAGAAATAAGTTTTGAATATTATTATATCATATATAATCTAAAAATGGTATGTCTTTTAAATTTCAGTTTATTGTCTTGATGCAAAATGCAGATTTGATGACAATGCTGGGTTTAGGCATGAAGACTTATTTAAATTAAAAGATTGGTCTCAAGTAGATGCTAGAGAGAAGCAAGCTCTAAAATTTAATTTGAATTACATTCCTCTAGATGGAGATATTGGTTGTTTAGGTAAATTTATAGTTATTTATAATTGTTTTTTTTTTGTTAACTATATTTAAATATCAACATTGCAAATAGTGTTGCTATTAAAGAAATAATATATGTATTTAATTAAATGTTTTTTACACATAAGTAAAAAATGAAATTAGAAAATGTGAACTCATAAGTATTATTATTATTTGTAAAAATGAATTTTTTTTTCTTTTTAATGGCAACACCATAACATAGCCTGGTATCTAAAAATCATAGATGTTGCATTGATGGCAAAAATCATTACAAAAAATTAGCGTTTATGACCTTAAACATCATTATCATAGTGTTTTCTCAAGTCAAAAGTTGGATATCTATTAGTTTACCATTTTCTACAAAGTCAAAATTTTAAAAGTTTCTCTTATCAAAGAAATTGCATTGATTGTACCACAAGTTAAACCAAACCACTTATCACAAGCAGTATAGTTGTTATTGTAGTGATTGCAACCAATGCTTTATGGACTTTTTAGCAATGAGTATTATAAAGATGCACAAAATTAGTTACCAAATTTAATCAACTAGCCTAATTTACAAAGGAACGACCCTTGTGTCATTAAGAGTAAATTTCAATAAAATACTAAGATCTAACATAGCCGTAAGATTTATCATCTAGTACTCATCTTTCTGAAATGTTAAACAGTAAGCATGCTGTTATTTCAGAAGTCTACAGAAAGTAATGCTTGGAATGCAGGAACTTGTCTATTTTAAGAGAATTCTTTTTACTTAGTTATGTTACATGGTAAAATTTGATATAAAGAATAGTGTAGATAATTAGTGTCAGCATTTTGAAATGATAGCCAGATAAAATTAAAATATTTTTGATAAATTTTGTTAGTTTTGAAAAATATAAAGAATTCAAATATTCTGAAAGGAGAAAGTATATAAGAAGACAAATTTTGTTACTAGAATGACCCAAAGGTTACATACCCAGATACTGCAAAACTTGACATGTAAATATGTCTCAGACAGATGTATAAATGATTGCAGTTGTAGTTTGATTGCATGCTAGGTAATGCTGAGTGCATTAAAATTGCTAATTTGGTTTCCTGTAAAAAGATAATAGCGGCTTATATGCTTAGAATTTTCAGTGTATTTGTTGTTTAGTTTTGCCAAATTCAGGCTTTCGATTTCCATGAGACATAATTAAAGACAGTATACATATTTGATAGTTTGAAAAGGTAGCATGTTGAGGGAAGCAGGATGGTTGTATTACTGAGTTGCCTACCTTATGGGCTATTCATTTCTGACTGTGATGAGGCATTGAGTGCAGTGGATATGTGAGGGCATACATACACGGCAGGCAGAGTCTGGATGTGCCAAGTAGACTACTATGGGAAATGATAATCAGATCTTGAGACAAGTAAAGTAGCTGCAGCGTCTTTGTCCAAAGACAGGCAGAAGTCTCATTACAGATATTTGTCTCTTCCTTTATCATTGACAGACAACTAGTAGAGGCAAATATTTTCATTTATGGTGACTGCTACACCTCCTGCTATTAGCATCCCAATATCATTGATGTGTTTGAAGTGGTATAATGTTAGAAGCATGAACTGCTATAGACTGGCAGTTCTTTAGCAACAAATCCCAGTTCTGTTTAGGAAAGGACGACTACAGTGTTAGTGTAGAGAACCATGGGTGAGTGCTTCAATTTTGCTTTACTGTTTGGCACACTGTCTTTACTGCAGATGTGCTAGTCTGGAAGTCATCTCACATAACAGTTTGTCACCCCTAATAGTTGGTACAAGACATTGACATTGATGTGGTATATCCAGGAAATCCCTCACACTTAGATGTTATTTTTCCATGGTAGGACTGTAAATAGCCATTTTCCAGCAAAATAATGCTTGGCTACATATAACTAATATTTCCCTGGAATGTTTATTGTCTTTCTACACTTTATTCATTTCACAGTTTCCAGATTTGTTGCACATAGGACATTTGTGGAACTAGATAAGTTTCAGCTATCTGGAATGGCAGTTGCAACATCTGTGGACAAATCTGTTTCAGTGTAGCATATGGTGCTTATATACTTGACCTTATCATATTGCCACATATATCCAGGCAAGAGGAGATCCCATAAGGCACTGAAATGTTTCTTTTTAAATTGTATCGTTGTTCCATAGAAAATTGCCTCTTTTGCTATGATATTGTAATTACATATTAACATAGTCATTATGTTTGCATTATAGTTTCATTTGATTCTAATACCTTTCTTGGTGCATAACTTTTCATTTTCAATGAGTGTAGTTTCAATATATAACATTAACATGGATAAAAAAGCAACAATTTTGGATAAGTTAAGATAGCAAAAATTAAGAACAAGGAGTAGGGATTAATTCTTAAGTTTTCTAAAATGAGAGAAGACAAAGTGAATCCATAAATTGGAAGAAGAATGTTAGTTGGAAACAGAGCTTATTTGAACAGATGAGTAGAGATGATTGTTAGATCTAATTTGGCTTTAGTTCAACAATCATATGTATGAGTCTCACTTTGTAAATAGAAATCTCATTATCAATTACAAAGGAAAATTTTTTTTATTAGTTTATGATGACCACATGGATCTTCTATGAATCTAATAGATAAACATTGCCATTAATGGCAAAAAAAAACATTATGCTGCATATGTAATTTTGAGTTGTTGATATATTTTGGGCAGTTTATACTGATTTTTCTGTTGAATTATTTTTTAAAACTGCATATTTCAAACATTCATAATTTGAGAACTCACTGTAAGTATATTGTCATTAATAATCTTAATTATAGCTTTACAAATACTTCTAGCAGTATCAGTAGGTGTGGCATCAACAGAATGTGTCATTCTCAAAATTAAAGCTAATAAAAAAAAGTATCTACATTCCATAATTAGCTAATTAGCATGATTAGCTATTTGTCATTAAGAATATTAACAATTGAAAACATAATAGCAAAAGCTCTTAACAGTTTTATCATCAGTGATTTTTGTCCAGAGGAAGATTATTGTTTAACATTATGATTTAATATTTTGTTTAATAGTTTTTTTGTTTTGAAAAATAGTTGATGTGTAATATTTAACCTTATAAATAAATACTATATTTATTTTTAAGTTAATATATATTAAACTTCTATTTTAAAAATTTCTTAAAGTGAATGGAGCAGGATTAGCTATGGCAACAATGGATATAATCAAGTTACATGGTGGTAATCCTGCTAACTTTTTAGATGTTGGAGGTGGAGCAACAGTTGATCAAGTAACAGAAGCTTTCAAATTAATCACTGCTGATCCAAAGGTTATTATTTGTTAAATAACTTATTTTATCAATTTTTGGGTATAAATTGTTGAAAATTATATTTTAAAATAATCATTAAAAGAAACTTTAGAAAATAAAGTATTCAAACTGATGCTAGTAATTTTCAAAAATTATTTGAAAGTTTATAAATATATATATATATTCTGTTTTAAGGTTCAAGCTATTTTAGTGAATATATTTGGAGGCATTATGAGGTGTGACATAATTGCAGAAGGAATCATTGCAGCTGCTGAGTTATTAGATCTTAAAATACCAATAGTGTGTAGATTACAAGGTAAAAATCTTTTCTGCTTAAATAATTTATATGAAATTATCCATTAATTTTTTTGTTTGTTTTAGGCACACAAGTTGATGATGCTAAAGCACTGATTGCCCATAGTAAATTGAAAATTCTTGCTTGTGAAGATCTGGATGAAGCTGCAAAAATAGTAATAGATTATTTGTCACCTAACATGTTATATTAGTAATAATTTCAATTTAAATATATAATTATATAAAAATAAAACATTTTAGATTTGAAAAATCAATAATTTACAAAATTTATAAACAGAGCTTCATTGCTGAGTTAATCATAACCTTAATGAAAGCATCACAAAATCATACTTTTTATTATTATTATTTCTTTGTTCCTCTAATAGATGTAGCTTTTCTTTCACTATTCCTTTCGTTTGATACAACTTTCATATTTATATCAATCTATTGGGAATGTTTATAGTTGGACAGCTTTTCTATATTAAATTTTATTTTTACATTGAAATTGTAAAAATTTATCATCAATTTTTTATTAAAGCACTTTATATAAATAGTTTTTTTTTTTTTTTTGCAGTCAATATATTATGAGAAAATTTCGTGAACATATTGTTGTATATGTCCTTTAAATTTCTATGCCTACTTGTTATTGTTTTTAATAGAGATAAGCAAATATAACTTCTCTCAAATTTGAATATTAACTAGATTTTGACTATTTTGAACTATCAATTGTCTTGAATATTCTGAATACTTAGTGAACTTAATTACCTTATATAACCTATTTAGTTAATAATTTAATATTTATTATTTAACTTGTTTTATTTATTTCAATATATTAATAAAAGTAAAACAAAAAGGAAAAGAAAAACATTTTTTAGTAAATTTTAAAAAATTTGACTGAGTTTTTAAAGTAGTTTTCTTTAGTTACATTTATCTTAATAAGAGATTAACAATTAATTGTTCTCATTCTCACCTCTTGCAATTTTTTATTTAATAAAACAAGAATTCAAAAGTGTTCAGAATCTAGTCTGTTTCTTTTCTTGTCACAAATTAAATCTAAAGAAATTCTTTCTGTATGCAGTTGTGGATACATTGGGATACCCATTGACAAAAAGAAAAAATAAAAATAAAATTTATTTGTGATGGCATATATGGTTTATTGAACTATTTGTAATACAATCATCATGCATGTATTAATAAAAGGTACTTATTAATTATTTTAATTATTCAAATATTTTTAATTTTTGAGTTAATTTCTCTTTGGGTACTTCTGGATGACACTGTGACTGTACATCTGGTGCAATATTGGAGATATTCAAAGTATTCAAATTTATTTTTATCAATAGAATGTTCAATCAATGGATAAAAAATACTGTAGCAAGTATTCATGTATACTAATATATTCCAGTATTTGCCTGTCTCTAATTTTTAATGTTAATTAATAATGAATAATAGATATTATAATAATTATAATAACTGATATTTAGACAATAATGATAAAAGTAATTATTATTATTATCTAATTGAATTGTTATGGATACATTTTTTAAATTTAAAATCAGAGCTTTATTAGCCAGTTATGATAGGTTTTTTCATTAAAATAAAACAAAAATGAAAATAATAATGATGAAAGATGAATAATCATACAACCAAAAAAGTCATAAGTTTATATAATTTAAAATTATCAAAGCATGCATTTTTTATTTTTTCTACATTGTAGAACAAAAAGGCTCTTTATTCCCACAATCCTCCCCACAGTGAGGATTGTGAGATGGATGGCTTGACTTAGCTGAATCATATCATTTCTAAAAAGTTTGATATTCTACCTTGTACTTGAATCCAGGTTCCCAGAGCAGCAGACTTTAGCCATCCAGCTAAGGCAGTAGTATTATGCATGCATAAAATATTCAACTATGTCATTTGTAGTATGTTATGTAGTATTATTACATGAATACATATGACTATATTTTTTATGTAAAAAATGCAGTAAATTTATAAAATATTTAGATATCTGTATTGTTTTGATTTTTACATCAAAAAAAGACCTGTATATACAGTAGAACCCCTCTAATCTGTCACCTTTGGGACTGGGGGAATGATCGGAACTCAGAAAAGGTCGGATTATCAGAAAAAAGTAAAATAAACAATCTTCCCCTTTGTCCAGTCTTTGTAGCACTGCTAATTTTTCATTTAATGAAAGAGTAACATGTCATAACAATGAAATACAATGTGAATAACAATGAAAGAGTTTCACTCCTGACATGTTGAAAACACACACAAAACTGTACATGTACACACAATGTAAAACATATACTGTAATGAACACAGAAGAATGCACACAGAATGCGATGGGCGGTGAGTCACCGATGAGTCGGGAAAGTTTCTCGGGACCACGGTCGGATTAACCAGAGCGACAGACTAGCTGAGGGTGGACTATAGGGGTTCTACTGTATTCAAATTAAATTGAAGATATAAATACATAAAATGAATACTGTATTATATAATAAATATATAAAAACTGGTAAAGGCATTTGCTTGACTTTCTTGGGCCTCAGATAGGAGTTTAAGGAATTGAGAAGAAAGTTGATAATTTTCAGTTATTTAAATTTTATATTATAATACGAGGGTAGTTCCAGAAGTACCCGACCTAACAAAGAAGACACAAAAAATTTGGTAAAACATATCTTTATTTTTCAACATAGTCTCCTTTTAGCTCGATACACTTTTTCCAGCAATGTACAATAGCTTTGATACCCTGTTTATAGTGAGAATTGTCAGGCTTCTCAAAATAGCCATCAACCGCAGACTCCACCTCTTCATTGTTGGCAAATCTTTTATCACCAAGCCAATTTTTTAAGTTTGGAAAGAGAAAATAATCCGAGGGGACTAAATCTGGCGAATAAGGTGTGTGAGGAAGCAATTTGAACCTTAACTCATTGATTTTGGCCATCACAATAATGGATGTGTGAACTGGTGCGTTGTCTTGATGAAACAACACTTTCTTTTTTGCCAAATGTGGCCGTTTTTTCTTGATTTCATCACTCAAGCGCTGCAATAAGTTCGCATAATATTGCTGTTGATTGTTTTTCCTGGGTGAATCCCAAAAAACTGACGCCATGACCTTGCCAGCAGATGGAACTGTTTTCGCCTTCTTTGGAGCTGATTCTCCCCTTTCAGTCCATTGTTTCGACTGTTCTTTCGTCTCAGGTGTGAAGTGATGGACCCATGTTTCATCCATGGTTATGAATCGACGCAAAAACTCGGCTTTGTTGCTGCGAAACATTGCCAAAGACTCGATTGAAACATCCTCACGACGCTGTTTTTGTCCCATTGTGAGCAAACGCGGCACCCATCTTGCGCACAGCTTTCTCATGTCCAAATTTTCAGTTAAAATGCGATGTACAGCACTTTTTGAAATGCCTACCATGTCTGCTAGCTCTCGCACTTTGAGTTGACTGTCATCCAATACCATTTTGTGGATTTTTTCCACCATTTCTGGCATGGTCACCTCACTTGGTCGACCACTACGATGTTCGTCTTGGCAGCTCGTACGGCCTCGTTTAAACTCTGCCACCCAATATTTTATTGTTGTAAACGAGGGAGCAGACTCCCCCAGAGTAGAATCTAGCTCAGCTTTAATATTGGTTGGACTGAAACCTTTCAAATGAAAGTATTGTATCACATAACGATGACAAATTTTTTCCATTTTTACAAATTCACTGAGATTGTTCACTATTTATGGCTGCCAAAAAATACTATACAACGTAACATCTTCAAACTTCAAACTTAAGCTTTATAAGGTTGATACTTTCGAACACAGTAGTTTTTTCAAACAAGTACCGCCATCTATGTCAGGTCGGGTACTTCTGGGACAACCTTCGTATACTAACAAAAGATTAAATGGAGTAATTTTGTTGAATTGTGAGAAATTTCTATACTTAAAAGAATATTTAAGTTTAAAAAACACTAAGACACATAAGCAAAAAGTTAAAATTGTGTATGATGACATTTGTTATGCAATTTTCTTAAAAAATAATTTTTATATTACTATTTATAAAAAGACAAAAGACTTAATTTTGAGGGTAAAGATGAGTTTTTTAAAAACAATTTGCAAATGTCAGTAATGAATAAAATTTTCATTAGTGAGGTTGAGGCCGAAGTTTTAAACACAAAAATGTGTACATCAGACGTTCAGCACTGCTTTCCTGTAAGCCTGACTATCCAAACACCGTTGTCAAACTTCTAAGTTTGACAACAGTGTTTGGATAGTCAGTGGAATCATGCTTGACATTCCAAATGCCATTGTGAAACTTCTAGGCTTACAGGAAAGCGGCCCTGAACGTCCAATGTACACGTTTTCGCGTTTAAAACTTCAGCCTCAACTTCGCTATTAAATCAACCCCACTTGAGGTATGACACATGACCTTCTTTTCCCTTTGACCTTTTAACCATCAACATTTAATAACATCAATGCCCATGTATAGAAATAATCTTGCTAAGCTTCAAAACTTTGGTTTATCCAGTCCTGTGATATAATGCAAAATAGATGCTGACACACGCACTTACACACACTTTTATAAAAGGGTGTTTTACATTTTTGGGCTCCTGGAGTGTCAAAATATTGAGAAACACAAAAAAGGGGGTTTCAAGATTTGACTTCTTCTTGCCATACTTTTCCTATATTATATTTTCTAACAACCAGGAAAGTAGTTCTGTAAATTTGTGATATTGTAAAAAGATTTAAAATTAATTTTAAAAATATTTATAACTTTATAGTTACATTTTTTATTAATCAAATTTAGAAATATTCAAAATTAATACCTTGATAATCCAGCATACCAATAATAATTAATAATGTAACACTTTCAACCATATTAAGTAACCATCTTCAAGCTAATGGAATTCAAGAATATACAAAATTGGAATACAGCATGATTTACTGTAAATACCAGGCATCCAAAATTAATACAAAATTCAAATAAAAAACCAGCTTATATAAATAAATATATAGAAGTATATTCACAAAGTATATAACGAGCAGATCATCATATAGCAGACAAAAAGTTGGGTATTTTGTAGCATGATTTCCACATGCTTGAGATTGTTTCAATATCTTTGTGATTGATTTCTCTGCTATTTAAGAATGATTTATAGATCTGTTTTTAGGAAACTTTGCCTCACTGAGGTTTACTTTGACAACATTGTCTATAATATAGGCTGCTAGTGCAATTGTGATAGACAATGTCAAGTTCCCTTTCTTTATGCTCACTTTGTGTTCCTTTAACTGAGGGAGGGTGATTGTTGTTGAAGTCAGGTCTTTAGTGTTATAACATTCAAATAAAAACATCTGAGAAAATTGCACTAAGTAAAACATTATGACAGTTTAAGGATAAAATAATATAAGAATAAAATTACACTGAAACAAATGATTTTCATTCACAACGTTATCCAGAATAACAAAAGTTTAAATTTATGTAAATTGAAACTTTTTATAATGATTTTACTAATGGCACATTGAAGGCATTTGGTCAGTGACTGTTGCTGAATGCCAACTGTAAGTTGTAGTCTTAGATCTTAATGTAATAACACAATCATTAACCAAAAAACAATTGTTATCCAAACATCTAAGATATAAAAATTGCACCAAATAAAAATTATGACAATTTAGATAACAGTCAAATTTTTTCTTAGAAGTTTTTCTTTACTAAAGATCAAAGATGGAGAGTCGGCAGAAAAATACATGAATCCTGACTCCCGAGCTGTATTTTTTAAAATCGACTCCGACTCCTATAAAATCATTCAACTCCTTGACTCTGACTCCCCATTCCTGATAAAGGTAAGCTTTGCATTTTGAAGCAAAATGTAGAAAACAAGTAAATAGGTAAAAATCTTTCAGGTGCAACTTTGAAATACCAAGATTTTCTTTGGTAAAGACAATTAAACTTTTTTTTTTCTTATGAGTTTATCTAAATAATTCATTTGGATATCAGTTATTTTTTTTGGTTAATGATTGTGTTATTACATCAAGACCTAAGACAATGTCTTAGTTTGGTTGGCATTCAGCAAGTCACTGACCAAATGCTTTCAATATGCTGTTAATAAAATCATTATAAAAAGTTTCAATTCACATAAATTTAAACTTTTGTTATTCTGGATAACATTGTGAATGAAAATCATTTGTTTTAATGTAATTTTATCCTTATAAGCATGAAATTAAATGATAAAATTAATATAGCTCTAAGGGAAACTCCTGTGAATTTTGGCTTATTGACCCAGAAGTTTTGACAGCACCACACTGATAATGAGATGTGTAAGTTTAAAATTTGAGCTTTCTAGACCCATTAAACCCTCTTGGAGTGTCTGCAATGCCAGATGAAGAAGAAATAAAGTATTTTTGGTGAATTTTGCACTTTTCAATTGATTATATTTCACCAATGCCTATATAGAAAAACCTGAAATTTTGCACACCACACTACCTAAGAAAACAATTATCTTTTGAATGAGATATTCAGAGTTACTTAGCCATTTGGGGATGGAAAAATTGACCCCAAAAATCAGCAACTATAAAATCTTGTATATATAATCAGTCGATGACTTTTTACTTGATGCAGAGTCACTGCAGTATCTTGTGTACAAGAGTATATTCATGGTGTATGGTGGTAAGACTTCCTCATCTAGATCTCTAATGACTTGTTCATAAAGGAGTCCTGCTAGTGAGTTGGACAATGATGATGAAGTAAATCTCAATGAGGCTAAGCTCCCTAAATCCAACATGGGATAACGTCATTAGACTTGAGATCTACAAATCATTATAAAGATCAGAGCACTTGTTGAAACAATTTCAAGTATATTGAACATAGCCCTACCTTTGTTCCACTATACAACAATCTGCTCAATTGTTTAATTTTATATATAAGTATATCAAAGTTGATTTTATATTAGCATTTTGTATTAATTTTGGACACCTGGTATTTACAGTAAATCATATGCTGTATTCCAGTTTTGTATATTTTCAAATTCCAATCTGAAGAGGGCCATTTTAATATGGTTGAAAGTGTTACATTATTAAATATTATTGGTGTGATGGACTATCAAGGTGTTTATTATTAATTTTGATTATCTTTTTCCAGTTATACTATATATGCATTTAGAAACACTACCTAAATGGTTATTTTTTTTTCTTTTAGGTAGTCAAGTTATCTACAATAGTGGGTCTAGCCCGGTCTGCAGCAGTTGACGTGAAATTTGAGCTTCCCCTGTAAATTAAGATATTTCCCTGTGTAATTTCATCCCAGTAGTTATTGTTATTCAAATGAAATTATTTTACATGCTAATATATATTAGAAAAAAATATGTAATAAATGAGTGTTTGTAAAATATACTGTTTATAAAAATTCTACAAAACAGTATTAGTTGAAATAGCATTTTTTTGTGAAAATGTATAATATTTATTAAATGAAATTCTAATTGACTATACATGTTTTCCTTCTGAACTTATTTAAGTAACATATAAACTTATCAAAACTATTTGCCACCCTGATTAGATTTACTTTTTTAGTCAGACTAATTTTTATCTGAAAAATTATTTCATTTCCCGTTCTACCTAATAATTGATTCAGACTGCATTGAATTATTTTGTAATCAATTGTAAATTCTGATAAGAAATTGTTTCTGTATTTAATTTTTATGAAATTGTTTGGTTTCGTAATTAACGTGTACGTAAAAATATCCATACGTGTTCTACTATGGTAATTCAATTTTCATATTCTGTATGTATTTATTAGTAAGTTTATTCAAAATGTAAGTGCCATAATTTTATTCTGTATTTATGTAATGACTTGTAAAGTTTAAGTAAGTATTATCTTGAAAAATAATGAAGAGGTAAACTTCGGACTTTGATAGAGTTGCACTTAAAGGCATAGATAAATTGCTAAATAATTTTTGGTCAATATTAGTGCAATATTAGAAAAAAAAATTAAATAAAAATTTTATATTAGCTTATTTTTAAAGAATATTTGCATTAGGAATATTGGAGTGTTTTTTGCATAAGTATTTATTTCCCATTCCAAATTATGAATCAAAAACATTACACAATTTGTCTTCAGAAAACTTTTTGTGTGGGGGGAAAAATTTATTTTAAATTAATATGACAGTGATTCTTGTGTATTTTATGTGCAATTCTATTAATGATATATGCAATTCTATCAACACCTTATATATATATATATATATATTATCTGGGACAACTCATACATTTATAGCTTCTATGATATGATTTCAGATTTGAAAAACAGTGATATAAGGTGCAAATTATTCTATGTGGGAGATGAAAACATACATTACTGCATATTATCAAAGGTAACGGTCAGGTGGTACCGCCCTAACAACAGACTGATAAGATAAATTTTAAATTTAATGTTAGAATTGGGTGGTGATAACACGTGATAGAAGTAAGGTGCGCTTTGGACCTTCGAAAAAATTTCTTTTCTCTCTTCAATCGTGAAGAATTGGATCCAATTGAGAGAATATATACGAAATATTCTCGAAGACTGTTCTGTGTAAGTAACTTTTAATGTATTACTTTTCTATATAATCAAACAAAATGGCTTCCCCTGATTTTATTTCATATAGTCGCTTTTGATAGAGAATTTTGTATTCGTAAAATTATGTTTTATTATTTTCCTAACGAATAATAATTAAAAGGAAGTGGTTTATAATGCATTTGATTGATATATTTATTAGTTTTTTAATGTAAAAAAATGATAATTATATTAATTTTTTCATAATTTATGAATGGATAATACATAAGGCTAACATTCCATAGAACTTTGAAATTTTCACGAATGACGTAAATTACACGAATTTCGTAAATATCTTAACGGTAACATTTCTGTAAGAATCATGTCAGATATATAGCGCATTTATTTTAAATAATCTGCTAAACATATGCAAATTTTTAATGGAAAATAAAATTTAAATATCCAGACGGGCATATTGCTTAAAAGTATGGTAATACTTGTAATATAGCGATTTCATCATTATTTGTGAAAGTGGGTCTGTATCAGAAAATTATCTGTATTATCCCAGATAAAATAACTTGTTAAAGATTATAAAATCTTCACTGCCATTGGATAATTTAGGATATTATACTGAAAATAAGAATTTAAGTAATATTTTCCTTAAAGAATTTAAAATAAACAGCGAAACTATTCGAGAATTTGAGGTAATTGCAGTTTGAATGTCTAGTAAAAACAAAATGTAGATGCAGTAGTTTTTTTAGTTACTCGTTTTCTTTAATTTTAAACTAGAAAAGACGAGCAGTTACTCGTAAACGAATATCTTCCATTTTATTTTTATTCTTAAGCAGCAATGTATATAATACGCTATAGACTTGTATTTACGTAATATAAAGATTAAAATTTATATAATGAAACTAAATATAAAAGCACCGATATGGTTATCGTCTTGCAGGTGTAACGGTAAACAAATATATGCAAATAGATAAAATTTAGTTCTGTTTTCGTTTAAGAAAATCCGACTTGTAAAATTTTATTACAGAAAGAAAAATGGAATCGTAACATTATATTAAAAATGAAATTTTCGTATTGGAAAAAAAATTCTGTAAATCGCGAAAGATTCTGTGTAAAAATAATTAAGAAATTCAAAATTAATTGTATAATACCTGTTAGATATTTTATAATTCAAATGTTCGTTTCGTTCCTCAATCTGAACATATTTCTTTTAATAAAGGAAACTGGGATGATCATCTCTGAAACTAAACCGGAAGAGACTTTATCACGTAACCATAGCCGAATTCTTTTCGTCACGTTACTAGCAGTTTTATCTCGATCAATGAACACTCACATGGGGCCAAATATAGGAATATAGATGTGCAAATGTATTAGGCGGCCTGGGCACACAGGGCAAAAGTTCTCTTCATCTATGTTAATTTATTATTCCACAGTTTAAAATATGCTGAAGTTTTCTATTCTCCTTTTGTTTTAATGCAGAAATGAATTAAAGCTCTGAGTACTTTAAGACAGCTGTAGCGAAGAGGCAAGCTCGAAAATTTGATTTCGGGTTTCACAGATTTTTAAGAACCACTGAGTTCAGAGATTGGGTGTGGAAATCTGTAGATTCTGGATCAAACCTGGAGAAGTGGTAAACGTATAGGAAACTTATACACACATTATCAGCAGTACGGATTAATACAACGTCTGAATCAGCCATGGTGGGGGGCCTCATCCGGAAAGAGGCCCCATTTTTAGTGTAAAAAATATTCCAATTTTATTTCTCTCGAATGACCTGAAAATAGATGTGAATTATGAAGCAAAACTCTATACAAACTTCAGATTTTCCCATTATTCAAGAGACATATTAATTAATGCAAGATCTTCCTATTGAGTTTAGTTTCAAAATTTTCAAATGAATATTTAATCTTGCTGTACAGTACAATATATAGTACAGGCTACGTGTATGTTTAAGTAAGATACCAATTTGATTATACTATTCTTCGGTAGAAGTTAGTGCTTTTATTATTCTTAAAAAGGATAAGGGTTGATTTAAGATTAACGATGTTTTAATTTTCTTTTCTTTTTATATTATTGTATAAATGCGAACAACTTGATACAAATATTGAAATTACATTACACAGACTATATTTCTTTACTTAAGAAAAAAATCTTTCTGCTGGCATTTGAAATTATTAAGTTAAAACTGATTAAAACTATTTCATGAAGTGTTATGAGAGAAGTAACGAAGAATAATTTAGCTGTTTATAGTATAGAAAATAAATGCCTGAGTTCTTTCAATTACTGTGAATTAATTGAAGAGTTTGCTGCTAAACTAAGAAAATATGTAAAATAAAATTCTTAAACTTAAATGTTAAAATTTTAATTATGCAATTACTTTTATATGGCTTTAATTTATTTGTTATACAATGAAGAGGGTGTAATTTGTAGCTTTCGAATGTACAATAGAAGTTTTTCGTTAAAAATTGTATTTGTTACTAAATTATACAGTATTTTAGTAAATCACAGAGATGATTGTTTAGCCATTCAGTTAATACTTTTAGTAAGGAATCAATATTATACGGATAAACAAAAATACGAATAAAACACATATATATTAATTAAGGCCGCCTGCATAGATTTTATTATTTAAAAGACAACTGCTCAGACTTCGCAATCTTCTATGTGTATGTAATCCAGAATTCAATACTTTTAATGAGTCATTCAAACCACATCCGGCTTTATCGGTGTGTTCTATGTATTTGCAAAGAATTTCACGCTTGCGAGTTAGAGCGGCCTAACACTTGATTAATGCTTGATCCTATTGATAAAATGACGCGAAATTCATGAAAGCCCTCGGCATTTATATTTTGCAGTCGACTCCTTGAAATATGGTGCCTGCTAACAATTACATTAATAAGTTGAAAAGGAGTATTTGTTCTCCAGTAAATTTATTATTACAATGTATAATCAATAAATTGATTTAGAAATATTTATCAGATTGAAGAGATATTGAAAGTATAAAATGCATTTATAGTAAACATTATAGAAATTAATTGTTTAATATCTCTATATTAAAATAATCTTGATATACAGTATAGGAGAGTCAGAAAGGTGGCTATACGTTTGACCTGATGGCGTGCTAACACTATTTGGTTTACAGGAAATAGAAAACAGAATAGTGGCATTTGAAAGCCAAGTGTTGGAAGTGGTATTGAAATTACATTTCGGCAATCTCGTGTCAACTGTATCTTGATGCTGTACGCTCAGTGATAACTTGGATGCTGACGTAGGCACTGTTAACATAACATAGAGTTCGTGACTACTTCGAATTCCACTCATAACTTCCCTGTAAATCAAATAGGGTCAACACAACACGCGACCAAATTTGCTAGCTAATTTTCTGACTCGCATTGTAAATAAAGATTAAAGTTGCTCATAAAAGTAATGTGTAAGATTGATGTTAAGGATAAATTTTTCATTCCAAAAGAATTTGAATCCGTTCAAGAAACTTAAATTCATAATGATATTTTTTAATAGATAAAAAGAAAATGATCCGAATATTTGCATTAGGTAAGTAAAAAGTTTTCTTATTTCTTTCTATATTTATTCACTTTAAAACTTTTATTTTCAAATATTAATATATTTGCAGCGTTTGTTTTTCATCATGCCACAGCTTTAATGGATCCAACAGAATTCATTGAAAAAATTAAGCCAAAATGCTTTGATGATGCTATGCCTAGAAAGCCATCGTCAGGATTAACTCTGGGTAATTTTATATATTTAGTAGAAAAATTTGAAGAAAAGCATCCCGAGCGAAATATTGAAACTAACATAAAGACACTCCTAAATGAGTAAGTATTCATTAAGCCTTTTCTTTATTGATAACAATATATATTAATTTGATTTGATTTTTTTTTTAGATTTAGTTGTGAAGGATTGAAATATCCTCTACAAAAGACTGGAGATACATATTATGGAAAAAGAGAAACTTATGCTGAAGAACGAAAAGATATTCTGGATGTATTTGTGAAGGATGATGATATAGCAAAGCTTGAGGAAGATGATTTCACGGATGACGAAATATGCAATTTATTCTTTTCATTGTCTCACACAGTATATGAAACCGAAATAAAACCCAGACCAGAAAGAAAACCTGATAAACAAACTAATACAACTGATGAAATACCTATCCCAAAGTAAGTTTAATCTTTATTCAAATGTTTATCTTCAAAATTAATTTTGATGGTAACTAATTTGATTACGTTTAAGTTTAAACATTTTAAATATTTCACTTTTTAGATTTTCTGCAAAAAAAAAATTAATAATAATAATAAAAATAAAGTTTCATATTTTCATTTAAGATTAGGGCCAGGTTTGTATACAAGTGCATGTTTTTCCTTAAATGCTATGATGTTAAAACTTCGATACAAACACGATTTAGGTCCAAGTGGATCAAATTAAGGTTGTCCGTAATATATATAACCATTTTTTAAAAATTTATATGCGTTTATGAGTGCATGTTTTGCAGATTTGGCCATTTTCGGAGCTAAATAAATGCTTTATAACTTGTTTGAATGATTTCAAGTGATATTACGGGTATCCCTCATATAACACGTAATTACATTCCGAAAATTTACATTCATATACACGGATTCCGTGTTATGCGAATACGTGCTATACGAAACAAAGAACTATTACAAAAGTTAGGGTTAGGTTTCGAAAGTTAACAAAAGTTAGGGTTAGGTTTCGAAAGTTAACAAATCCGGACAACCTTCCTTATCCGGAAGGTTGTCCGGATAAGGAAAAATTCGGATAATCGAAACAAATACTTTAATTTGTCTTTTAATGATAATACAACACGTTTTCTTTTCGATGACATATCGGTAATATTAAAAATAAATACCGTATTTAAATCGTGATCAAATTTTCAAGAAACAAATGTTCGTATTGAATTTGGACTACTACTGACCAGCGCTAACAGACTACCTATTGTTTAAAAGGCCCTCTGGTGGCGCAAGAAGACGGATTTTATAAAATAAAAAGCAGTTGAAACTGCATTTTTATGAATAAAAATTTGACAAACTATTTATCGTTTTATGACGAGTAAAATTTTTTCGTCGCGTTCGCGGCTTTTAAGTAATGCATAAACCTTCGAGGCGCGAGGCCCTTCGGACCGCGAGGCATAGGCGGTGGCCCACGTCGTCCATGCCTTACGCCGCCCTTGGTCATAGAAATGATGTAATTTGAATATAAATTATTTATAAATACGTATGTCAAGTTATATTTTTATTACTACGTAAAATATATTTAAGAGTTTACGACCACTGTGCTGGGTGAGACGTTGTTGAAACAAAAAAAGTTATGCATTCCATCACGTACATAAACAGTGTCGTAATTCGCCAAGTGCAAATCAGCAAATTCGTAAAATTTTTGTTTATTTTGAACAATCCAGATAATAGTGATCCGGATAATCGAGGTTCTACTGTATTGTATTACGCGTTAATATTAATTTTAGTTAAACGAGGGCGCTTTCTTTTTACAAAGTTTCGTTGTCATCTCGGCTTTTTTGTTGATCTTGATCAGAAATATCAGCAACATTATCTCTTTTAATTTTTATCATAAAAATTGTTTATGGGGTGACAAAATAAAAATTGTTATTAATCGAAAATTTCTTCTAGCGGGTCGCGTTTGTTCAGTCGAGTACCGAGCGATTTGTGTGTTCGTGAACCCTTAGAATTTGTGTTCGAATACCGAATTGTTCGAGCACCGAGATACTGCTGTATTTCGTTCGTCATTAATTCAAATTTACGCGTGTTGTGTGTGTGTGTGTGTTTTTTTTAAGTTCTAGTTGCCTGAAACTAACTTTAGTAGAGTTGATGATATCAGTTGGGAACGAAACATTAATATCAATTTCGACGCTAAATCTATAATTACCGTAGCTAATAATAATAGAGTTTACTCATTTTTCGTCATTTGTACAGGACTATAAACAAAAATATACAACTATTTTACGTAGGGGAAATCTACGTTTTTTGACCCAATGGGGGCCCCATTTTTTGTTAATACAAATAATACTATAAATTATCGTTATTATAATATTATTATTATCGTAGTTATCGTATAATAAAAAATAGTTATTATATTATTAAGTGCTCATTGTTAATGAAAAAGTATTAAAAAATTTATGATAATTTAATTTTGGGGGCCCAGGGCTAAGGCCTTATTAGTCCCTATGTAGATCCGCCAATGAAAAAAGTATAGGAAACAAGGTTTTCTATCACATCACCTTCAAACATCTTATAAACAATTGTACATAAAATTCAGTATAGAAAGTTACAATTTTATCGAACGTGTGATTTATTCGTAATTGACTTTATTGCACCTTTTCATAAATAAAACAATATTCTAATAGGCATACGTGTTTTGTGACGTCATAATTTTTGACATCTCTCCTCCTATTGTCGCGTGTTTCTCTTCCTATCTAACAGTAAAAAGTGTGACGTAATAGATGTTAGTGAAGACGGAAGTACAGTACGTAAGCATTCAGCCCACCGATTTTAATTTATTTGACTTCCTGTTTAAACAAGCATAATGTATATTTCATACATTTTTACGTACTGTACAGTACATATGTATGCGCGCATATTGCAATTTTAAACTTGTTTAAGTTGTACACAATTTAGATTTTTAAGCTGTTAAATTATTCAGTTTGAATGATTTACACAAAAAATAAACACTACAAAACTGATCTTAGAATTAACAATTTAATATATGAGAATTCTGTTTAAAAAAATAAAATTCATAATAATTTATCTTTACGAATCATTTCTTTTTAGTGAACAAGATCAGCAAGAACCTGTTAGAGTAAATGTAGAAGATGGTGTTGTGAGTTTTGGAGGAGATGAAACTCGTGCAATTTCTTTATCAGATGTTTTGTTTGGAATATTAGGTGCATTAAGAGAGGAAGAGAAAAAGATAAATGAATTTTTTCCTCCGCATAATCGTAATCCTGAGTTTGATGATAAAGTATTTCAAAGTTCATTTCTTTTTTCACTTTCAGGTAACTTATTTGCAAATTATTTAAATAGTTATAAAAAACTTTGAATTTTTATTTTGATGTGTAAATAAGGAAAATTGTTAATCTTGAAAAAGTAATTTAAAAGACTGAATTTTAATCAATATTAATTTTATATAATATTTATAATAAATTTTCTTTTTTAGCTAAAACTGCTGAATCAGTATTTCATTTACCTGAAAATATTCAACCATCAGCAGGATACTGGATTTCAACTGACTGCAGTAAAAATTATATTCTAAAAACCAATACAGAAATGTTTACCTATGCTACTCTGATAGGTTCTGTTGATGGTAAATAGAAATTTTTATTTATTTTTTATTAAATTATTTATAAATGGTTTAACAAATAATAAATTTTTATCTTCATAGGTTACTTAATGGGAAAAAAACTTCTTGGTGATAAAAGCAGACTTCCTAAGTTAAGTCAGTTATTAAGAATGTACTACAGTAAACAAGGTTTTTCATCATTCCTTTCTAAGCTTCCTTTAAGTTTTTGTCAAAGAGGATCTGAAATGGAAGATGAAACATTTAAATCAGAGTTGAAAAGCCAAGTTTATAACTATGTTTTATATTATAATTTAAAAAAGAAAATGCACACTACTGAAATAACAAAGCAAAAGACTGAAGCATCAATGGCAAAGTTTCGGAATGAAATACCAAAAGCATTGGCTCAAGTGAATGGTAAGAAAATTTAAAGAATTATTTTTTATTTAAACAATAATTGAAATTAATTCAGGAAAAATACATATTAATTTTTAATATAAAAAGTATTAAATATGAAATTAAGCATTTCTTGACTTTTTTTTATTAGTTTTAATTTAGTAAAATGATTAGTTTTAATTTAGAAAAATTTTCAAAGTCACTTTTAATTGAATTCTGAAAAATCCATAACGTTTATGGCTAATTAGTTACAGCTGATCAATAAATAAATTTTTTGTATGATATAACATTAACTAATGCAATTTTACTCTATCAGGAACTATTAGCATCCTGAAAGAGTTGTAGGTCATCTCTATATGAGAAAAAATCAAAAATTATATATCATAAGACAATTATTTATGAGAGATGGTTCTGTGAAAATTGTTTCCTGCAATGCTAAACTTTTAAAAATTAACAAATATTTAATTAAGAGAGATAACTAAAAAAATTTGTTGTATATAATGCATTATATATAATGACAACATAAAGGTATTCAAGACATATTTCTGGGTTATAGCCAACACCCCATATCATGCTTTGTTTAGATTTATGCTATTATTCAATATACATGATATATATTTTTCAGCCAACTGTTCTTCAGTGAGTGAATTTCAATAATATTTTACATACTATCAAAAGTTTTGTCTATGAATTTATTTATTTTTGCCATCTTATTTTCCTGTATCTCTTTGTATTAATTTCTGTTGTAACGTCTGCATGAAATTAACATTGCCAATGTCTTGGATTTTTTGCTATATCATCTTTTTTGTTCTGCAGCTTTTCCTTTCATACTTTTTATGCTCATTTCCCTTCTGGTTTAATAATTATATGATCAGATTACAAGAAACCAGAATCTAAGAAGTGATAATTAGTCTCTCGAAAAATGCCTCCTCAAAGAATCAGTGAAAATTTAAATGTAAAAAAATGAATTGTGTATACTTACTTTTACTTGCAATTCCTCCATCTCTTCCACAATGTCCTAAGTGCTGCATGCTCGGCAATGCACAGTCTTTGGATGATTGTTAAAGAGAAGAATAAAATTTAGACATTGACTTGGTGTCACTGATTGTCGGGATAAAAATCGTCTGACATGATTTCCCGCACTTTTCTGTATTTTCAAACGAACGATGGTTATCACCATGGGAACACCGATTAGACAACTTTTGGAAACTCGACCGCGGATTGGCTGGAAGACATCGTACCACCAGCGGACGTCTTGTAGCACTACTAAGCGCTGATTGATGGAATTCCATTTCCTTAGGCGAGAAGTCTAGTTTGCCTAGGACACATCAAGGAAACTCATGTTTGTTCTAACTTCGTCTAAGCTGGCCTAGAAGATTGTTTCGTCTCGTTGTGCGGTAACTAACGCAAGAAGTTCGTCGCAAGGTGTCTTTTCGACGGACCTGTTGTCGTGGATTAAACACATTTGAACTTTGTTACACCTGACATTTTGTTAATTGTCGTTTTATGAACTTTTGTAACTGTATATACGTTTTACTTGTAATATAAACGTTTTTGTGAAAATTCATAAACGTCTTATCTATTCTTGTTGTGAATTTGACTCTGATGAACAATGGATATTGTATATTCATATACAGTAAAATTTCTATTATCCATCAGTATTTGTTATCTTCACATCACTGGAATGTGCCAACTGTCTGTAAAGTTGCATAGTTGTAACTACAGCACATTTATTCCTCATTATTATATTTTTAATTTCATTAGTTCTTCATTGATTAAAAGCAATGAACTACTGTGAAAGTGAGGAAGGTGAAGATGACAAAATGTAAAACCAAAATCAATCAAAATGAAGCTAGAAAATTATGCTGTCAAAGTGTATTGAATAGTTTTGACATGCAAGAAGAAGTAGACATAACATAAGTGTTAAGTTACTCTTCCATAAAATTCCCAATATTGCTTCTGTGAAGGCTGGAAATGCACTGGAACAAAAACATTGCTGATTGTTTTAAAAATATATAAGAAAGTGTTTAAACTTGTTGTATGATACATATTTTGTTCTACATTTATTGTGACCATCTGTGAAGCTCTGTAAAACCTGAGGCTATTTGCCATGTGATGAACAACTCTATAACAATCTTCATTCAGTGATGCTGAGTAAGCCTGAATATATTAGGGAACCTGGGTGCACCAGATTGGTGGTAATAATAATAATAATTTAACAAATTTCAACACATTGAACCTAACTTGAAAATTTGATTATTTTATTTAGTAATGCTTAAAAAATCAGTGTAGCCCAGAGAAATTATCATAAGACCCAGAGCTACAAGATGAGGTTTGAAAATGCCGAGAAGTTATCACCTTATCTAGACCTTTGTCTATGTTGGAAACACCTGATATGACTATCAATAATTTGTAAAAAGCTTCCATTACCTGATATTTTTTGTTTTTGTTTATTTATTTGTCAAACTCTAAGTCTCAATATTGTCAGATAATTGAGATTTTACTGTATGTTTAAATTAAAAAACTTCAATTAATATTATTAAATTTTTTTCAGTTGAGAGAAAAAAATGTGGAAAAATTAACGAGGGTAAGTTTAATATTTTTATATTTATTAATATCTTTAGAGTTTAGTGATTAGTTCTATTAAATTTTAATATAATTATATATATTTTTTAAAAATGTATTGTTTTGTATCTTTTATTATCTCTCCTAACTCTTATTTCATACAGATTTATAAAATAAAATAGTAATACAATTTACTTCTGAAAATTTTTAATACTTTTTTTGCATAATAAACTTGAGAAGAATCTATTAGATGATACATACAACAATAATTAAAGTTTAAAATAAAACATGTGTTGTCAGAAAATGAGATGTAAATAAAGTACAGTATGTTTATTTTGTTTAAAAAATTTCATTTATACTTTGAAATTTTCTTCATTCCATACAATGCAAAATTGATCAAGTAAGCAATTCAACTGAATACATAACTTTAAAACAGGAAACGTTTAAATTTAGCAAAGTCTATTTAATGAATGAATGTTTCAACCATTTTAAGTGGCTGGTTATGCTGTAGATGGCAAGTTTAAAATACAGGGTTATAAATGCCACTCCTGTCTTTTGTGTCAAGCATTCATGTCTTTTTATTTTAAACCACTTCACCCTAGAATTTAACTTTTATTTCAAAAAATACATATACCTCTACATATACTGTCTTTTGTGATCACAAATGCAATATTTCCATAAACTTTAGTATTTTCAGTTCTTCCAGTCCATTCTCGGAGTTACCAAAAGTGTTTCAACAGAAGCACATTTCACATTCTAATATTACATATGTATGTTACACTTTTTTCACAATAGTTGTTTTCCTTGGATAGGCTGAAAGGCCTGAGAATACAAAGTTTAAAGGAAATACTATGTTCATTAACTCCAAAAAAAGCATAGAGATGTACTTGTTACATTGCTGGAGAAATAAATTGATTGATATTCAAAAAAATAGATATATATATTTTTATAGCAATATGAATTATAATTTTTTTTATTGATTTTAATATATTTTAAAATTATACATTACTTTATTTTATGTCTTTGCAGAAGTATGTGAAACACCAAGCAATGTTGTTGTTGTTCTTGATAAACGCAATCATTTTGATACACAGCTACATACTATAGCGTAAGTTTATTTATTAAATAAAACAAAAAAACTTTGGGTAGTTATTTATTTAACTGAGAAGCACAAGATAGATCATGGTGGCATGAAATGGTCGTCAACCTCCTGACAGGAGAAGACATCTAAAGAAGAATATGATTGCCACACATTTTAATATAATAATTATTCTAAAGAATTTTCTTAAAATTTTTTTGGATACTGTCATGCCATTCCAGAATGTGAAAGAAATTTGTCTATTTAAACATTCAGAAAACACTATTTACAAGCAGGACTATTTTTATCAAAAGTTGTTATAAGTTGTTCTAATACAAGAGAAAATTTAATATATTTAAATTAAAACTTTCATTGTTTATAATTATAATAAAATGAAATTTTATATTTTATACTTTTTCAGAAAACTGATAAATAATAATGGAATAAGTGAAAACACCTTCAGAGTTTTTGTAAATGCTGAAGATGATATAAAGATTGACATGAGAAAAATAACTGATACTGTTGATGCTAATAGAATTATTGCATCTTGTGCTTTAGATGAATACAACAAAGGTAAAAAAAATTAACACCACACTATTCATTAAGTTACTTACCCTAGGAAAAGTTAAATTCAAAAATTGCTGTTTGCATATATCTATGATAAGACAATTATATAATATATAGGAAAAAGATTTTCTGTGCAATTATAGATTTTTTCCCCCTCACTTTTATTATCTATTTATATGATTTACAATATTAATATTTTTTTACTGTAACTGAAATAAAATAATAAATAAGAACTTCATATTTTCATTGTCTGGTTGAAATATACAGCCAGGCATTGAAGTATAGTGTTTAGGACAGAAATATTTATATTCAGTGTTTTCTGTCAAATTGAGAAAGCAGTAATATCAGTGAAGCAAAGACAACTATTTAAAGTAGAAGTTGATGTGGAGAAACATTTTAAAAAGGTGACTGTTATCTATAAAGTTTGTACATGTTAAATTAGAAATAATTAATGTGAAAATAACTCAAAGTTCTTTAAAACATATAATAAAATAATAAATTGCTTTTCTGGAGTTTGTTAATAAACTCCAGGAAACAATGTTATTATTTTATTATAAATTAGAAATATTTACAGTAAAACATTGCAAATGATTTTTCTAATGCTGCTGTTATTATTTTCTGATCAGAAAGTACAGTAGAACCTCGATTATCTGGATCTCTATTATTCGGATTTTCGATTATCCGGATTGTTCAAAATAAACAAAAATTTTACGAATTTGCTGATTTGCACTTGGCGAATTACGACACTGTTTATGTACGTGATGGAATGCATAACTTTTTTTGTTTCAACAACGTNGTCAATGGTGACAATCCAAAGCTTTTTTGAGGACCATATTATTTTCAATCATTTATGGCCACAGTGGTGGATTTAGCACTTGAGAGGCCCCAGGTGCAATTCAATTTTGAGGCTCCTCTAAATATTTTCATTACCGCTACACCCTACAGTGTGCATCTTACGCGCACATTTTTTACTCTGGTAGGCACTATACTGGTGGTCCAAAAAAGTGAGACAGAGAAATAACATTGAAAATTAACCAATATAAAATTACAACTGCCTGGCTGTATTTAAAAGGTTACTGATGTTCGGATGGTATCAACTATGAAAATTGAAATTTATTAGTACAATAATTATTAAAGTATTAAAAAACGTAAAAGTATTAAAAACGAAAAAATTTAGTAATTCATGGATATAAAAAATAATTTATTTTTAAATTTACTACTGATTTTTATTTTGAGAGCTGAATTTTGAGGCCCCCTTGATTTATGAGGCCCAGGCATGTGCCTCGTGCACCTGTACAGAAATCTGTCACTGTATGGCCACCTCAGTTACCTAATCAAACCAGCCCAGACTTCTTTTTGTGAGACTATCTGAAGGAAAGAGTGTACCACAAATGATTGCCTTAATGGATAACATTAGGAATGAGATTCAAAACATTGATGATGTAACATTGAGACATGTTAATAACATGTAATCACATGTTGGTATGTGTTTGACAGAAGGCAGTGGCCATTTCCAATACTTGCTGCATGTGACATGTTCAATGTAAGTGGAAGTAAACTTCTCATCAATTTCCATTCATTCCTTTAAGATTTATAATAAATTTGGGTTTATATGAATGCCTGTATTATAATATTAATTTATGACTTAATTTTTTTCTTAATATAACTCATTTTCATTTTTAATTTTTATCAATATATGCCCCATCTTACTGTTCAGTTATAAAATACATTTTTTTTAACAAAAGAATTACTTTTTAACTAATAAGGAAGAAAAAATTTCCAGTTCTAAACAATAAATTTTTTCATACTTATTACTTTTCCAGCTGTTATATATATATATATATATATATAGATTTATTAATTTCTCACTTCTTTATCATTCTGAATGACTATAATATGATGCAAAAACACATTAAATTTTAATTGTATTTTTTAATAGAAAAGAACTCTGTAGATAACTTGATAAGACCAAACTGTTTATTAGCAGTTTGGTCTTGTCATAACATATTTCTGGTATTCAATAACGTTTTCCAGAATTTATGACAAAATAAAAATTACTTCAAATTTCTTGTAACAATAATCCAAAGTAAAGTTGTTAACTGGCATTTACTTTTATAATCAGTGTTGGCTTGCTAAATACAATTAAGATAAATAGTTCTCATATTTAATATCAAACAATGAAAGAATATAAAAATTTAACAACTGATAACATTAAAAATTATAATGTATTTGGTGCTGCAGGAAACAGAAATAATGTATAGAAAATAAAACTATAAATAATAACTATTTCATAAAAGTAGTATTGACCAGAATCAAGTGTATTTAGTAAAATGTTTGATATGGTAGCAATATTTCAGCACTGATATCATAAAATAAAAAAAAACTTTTAAAGACTATAATTTGTCAAGTGCAAATGAACTCACCAAGATAATGCTGTGTTCTAATCAGTACCAATGATACTGCCTCTAGTTGTCAATCTTGTCGTACCTTTTTGTACCATAATTTCCTGTCAAAAAAACTATACCTTCTTTTGGTTTCTACCATTGAATTTGTACATGTTGTTTCCCAATCCACTCATATTTGGTGAATACATTTCAGATAATTTGCCTTAGTGCTTTATAGATAAAACTATCAAATAATCATTTGTAAAATGTAATAGATTTGCCACTCTTATAATCTCTAAAACTATATTATTAATTCACAAAACAAGAAAACCGAAGGAAAAATGTATAGAAATTATAAGTAAATGTAACAGTGTTAAATATTTTACTATTCATTTGTGGATGCTTGCCTTTTTAATTAATTAAAATTTACGTGTTTTAATTATTTTAATTCTCAACATCTTTCCTTTGTTCTTTGTCTTCCCTTTCTAGAACTTTTTATTCTCTTTTAATCCTTCTTTTGTCAATGTGGGGGGTCTGTTTTGAGAAACATTGGTAACAATAGAGAGAACAATGACAGGCCCAAAGGGGAAAGTAGAGGGATGTCATTCTTAAGCTCGATTTTGGATAGTTCACATAGATGTCCCATGGTCTGAGGAGGTAAGAATGGAAGAGCAAAAGAGGTTAAGCTTTAGCAAGTACTTTGTGGCTCAACAGGATATAAATTATATTAGTGCTCCTTTCCAAACAAGAGACTTTTGGTCATCACGAGTTTGGATAAGCAACGGAACTATATGTGACAAAAGACAGAAAATCAAAAATAAGAAGACTTCCTTGTGGACCCCATCTCACAAGCTAGGAACAGTATCCCTCAAAAAAATTCCAGAATATTTTCACTATTAGTCTTTCTATCTCTATCCTTCTAACCTCTGTTTCCTACTTTCCTCTCATTTAGATTGTAAGGTAGTTTTAAAGTAATATTAAATTCAGGTTATTTCTGTTGCACACAACTTTTTTTGTATCTGTAATCTCGTGTACTCCCAATGCGGGGAAAATCACTGGTATCCAATCTTAGTTGGGATCCTGACAAAAGATCCTGTGACACTTGTTTTGTTCTGTGTAAATAAAGTTGTATTAATTGTACATGTTCACCAATCATGTCTTGGTATTACATTCTATATTGCCTTTGTCGGTGAATTGTATTGGCACTCAAAATTCACACATTTTTATTTTCAACTTTAAGAAATTCATTCACGTCAAAAATTTTGAACAATTATTTTTAAGTAAGTGAAATGAATGTTCTGATACTTTAATTACAATAATTTAAGAAAAGTTGATTGAAAACAGATGATAAATTGAACTAAATATAAACATCTAAAATTAAGATAAATTTATCATATAATTTTATTTCTTACAGTGTATATAATGTGTCTGATGTCAATATTGTATGCATTTCATAGATTTACAATCAATGTATTAGATAATTTTAACATTCTAAATACTTTTCTATTGCTTATATATATATATATATATATTATGAACATCTGGGATATAAAATCCATAATCTTTAAAAATTTAAATTATCTGCAGTTCATTATAGAATTAATTTGTGCTATATATAGTCTCTTATTTAAAATCAAACTGCATAGCTAACATAATTTGAATTTTGATTTATAATTTAGTATAAAACTTTAAATGTAATGTTGTTATTTTGTAAATTTGTAATATAATACTGTGTGTATATTTATACACAGGATATTATACATGTGATTCCTAAGGTTTGAATGAATCTGTTAATCATGGTTGATGCATCAATGATATGAAAATGATACATATTTTTCTAATTTGTTGATATAAACTGATATTTTTCTAATTTGTTGATATAAACTGAACAGTTCAAAGGTGGCCTTAATACACACATCAAGCTCAACTAATTTTTAAAGATAAATAATTTTTGTCATAAGCATTTTCTGGTGTATGTACTGATGGATTTTAATGTACAGGTATTCCCCTTATAACACGGCACTTCTATAGCATGGATTCACTCTAACACGGTTCGAGAATTGGGAACATCCCCTGTATAACATGGTGCTTTTATTGCACAGGTTCACTCTAACGCAGTTCAGGAATTGGGTAAAACCCTCGTACAACATAAAATGTAATAAAGGGTGCGTTCTTTTATACCTCCGCGTAACTCCGCACGAGCATTCTAATTGTTTTCATGGCTACTTTGAATGCTTTTTCAACAAATAATCCATTTAATGGTTAAATTTTACAATTGGGACCCTTCTTTTGCCTCTAAAAGCTCATTTTAGAAATATAGATTTCTCCACATGATACTATCGATAGTGCAGGCGCCACCATCTTTCTTTCACCATTGTTCTTAAATGCCTACAAACAGCAGCGCACTCCTATTGCAGAGCGACCGCTATTAACGAATGCACTTACAAACTGTTACCAGTTGATGATGCTCATGCTGAGATCATCATATATGATGAATAATCCTCTGGTAAAATATTTATTTAAATAATAAATAAGTATTTTACCTATGAAAAAAATGAATAATAAATCCGATTTAAATAAGGATTTAACAACATGTTTTTTAATTTTTGGAACCTAACCCCCCTTTTCGCACTAGTTCTTTGTTTCGTATAACACGGATTCACATAACATGGCAATTTTTTCGAACATAACTCCCTTGTTATATGGGGGTTACCTGTACTGTAATGTGAAATTGATCTAGAATTAATTCATTTTAATAAATTACAATAAAAACATTTTTTTAAATTGACATTAATTAAACAACAATTTTAATTCTCATTGATAGATAATGATGCTGGATTACTCGAAGAAAATTTAGTTTTACAAGCCATAAATCGAACATTAATGAATATTGAACTAGAATTAATTTCTTTACCTGGTATGCCATCAAAGGTATTACAATTTTAAGATTTAAATTGTAAGAAATATTGTCTACTTTTTATGAAAAAATCTCTCAGTTGTAAATGATATTAAGTCCAGTTGTAATTCATATTAAGCCAAATTTTTAAAGCTTTCCTTATTAAGTGATTTTTCTATTTAGATGTGCTCTTATTGCCTCTTTATAAGAATCAACTGTTTCTGTATATAGACATACAAAGAAGCAGATTTTTATTTTTTTTAATTTCAAGATTTATTTGAAGTAAAATTGTTTAAGATACTTTTCCTAAACATTTAAAGTTAATTAGAAATTTATATATATCAAAATAATTTTATATTTCTTAAATTTAATTTTTTTTCTATTTATTTATCAATTTAGGTAGTATTTTATTACAACTATGGATTAGTTCTTGAGAATAATGCACAACTGTTGAGAAAAATTGATGACGCCAGAAGGGAATTGATAAATAAGCATAGAGGTTTGTGTATAAAATTTTCGTAATGACATATTTGATTAATGCTTTTTTCTCCTACAAAAAATTAAAATTCTGTTTCTTGGAACATGAACAAAAAGTTTCAAATTATCCAATTCATTTCTAAGTTATAAACATTTTAGATAAATAAATCTGAAAACTGCTGTGTTTTTGTGCATATAATCTGTGATAATGTATAACTCACAGAAAATTCCTAGAATAAAAATAAAAACCTTTACTTAATTCACTCTACAATATACCCTGTACCTATGGAGCAGCTGCTGTTCCATAGGTGGAAGTTTCATAATTGCAATTTAAAATTAGTATATAACTCTCTCCACCATACAACTCATGTATTCTTTCAACCTGTCTTTTAACACAAATGAACATGGGTAATATATATGAGAATACAATAGTATAATAATTTAACATCATTCTAATTGACCAGGTTATTAGTAGTAATAAAACCTGTTCAAAATATATTGCTGAGCAGGTATTATTACTACTAATAACCTGTCAGATTGTGTAATATTTACTTGTTATTTTATGAATTTTTCTCATTATCTCAATCATAAATAATATAGAATCTGCTTATTGTAATAACAGAGTTTCTTATCAATTGTTTAATGTTATCAGCAAGTCTCAAAACATTAAGTTAAAAATACACTTAGGAAACATCTTTAGCCTAACCGTGGGTTTAATTTTTAAATTTGGTTATAGTTATCATTGCCTGTTTACCCGAAAATAATAATAAACTATCTTCTCATACTATTTGCTTCAATATATATCATATAATAAACAGTCAATTGTCATTATGTCTTAACCAATGCTTTGAGCATTAAACATTAACCATTTTAACATTCTTTGTTCACAGTACAGTAGTTTAAATTACTGGTATTTAATGCATCAATTATGCACTACATATTGTTAAAGGTGTCAAACAATATTAGATGAATTACTAATAATTAGAATTAAAAAATCTAATATGTGTTTTTAATTTTTTAAACATGTACTTTTAATGTCAGTCAATAAAACCAGAATTTCACTTAATTAAGTAGCATAAGTGAATAATAACTGACTGATAGCATTGAAATCTTATCATTACAGATCAGTCCCAAAGTGATCAAAAACAATTATATAAAATATTTAGACTTCAAACTCAAATGAGAGTTACAAATAAACACTTGGCTTTATTTCCATCACTTTTTAGTTGATACATGACAACAGCACGTTTCGGGCATAAAGCCCCTCATCAGTCAACTAAAAGATACAATTTTTTAAAAATACAATTTTTAAAATTATTACATAAATATCTAATAAAACAGAATTAAAATAATGTATATCTCTTACCATATTAATTTTTAATCTGTTGTACATACAAGATCTTAACCCAATAGGTGCACACAACTTATTTTACAATAAGTGGAGTAATTTCATTAGAATTTACTATAAATGATCTTTTACTTATTTCACAATATCCAGGAATCTTAGACATAATCACCATATGTATCTCGAAAGAGAAATAGACAATTTTTTACATTATTGTTTTTTACTGTATCTGCATTACATACTGCATTGCAGTTTTGTACTGATTTGCATATTACAAAGGAAGATATTATTAATATTAACAACAGCATAACCTTTATAGATAATTACCATCAACATTAATGTATATTGTGTGTATTATAATATTTTCATCCAGTTCTCATTTATTTTTACACTTAAATTTTTATTGATACAATTTTTGGCTGTTAAAATTGAAACGCTTTCTTTAAATTTTCTATTATACATATTTTTCTCTTTGTATAGGATTTTTAGTTCGAAGTCCAATATATTTGCAAAACACGGTTTCAAAAACAACATAATTGTTTTTATTATACTATCAAAAGAATTATATTCTTTATTTTTGATATATCCTTTTATTAATTAAGGAAACAGTGTTGTAAAATGTACAATTTGTATATGTTAGACTGGATGTTCCTTTTTGGAGATTAGGAAAACTGGTTAGACTTGTGCAACTGGTTACATGACAGAGAAACAAAGATTACACAAAAGATAAAATTGACTTACTCACGGAAGGTTGGTGCTGAAAAAGGGAAGAGTAAAACAAGTTCACAGTCACCAATGGTTTTCCGAGGGGTCAACAGCAACTTTTAAAACACATAACATGAAAAATATTTACAAACATCACCATGGCACAAAGTATTGTACAATACATATCGATGTCATATAATATTTAACAGTAACTTCAATCATTGATTCAAACAGTATATTCTTTCATAACAAAATAACTGTAACTTTGTTTCTGCTCAGACCTGTGCACAGGATTTTTAAAATGATGGAGGTAGTAAAAGAAAATTTTTTTTTTCATAGTTTAGTTTATTAACTTTTACAGTATAGCTACATAAAGTAAATTTTCTTCCTTATTATTACTTTTATTTAATATTTCAATTATTCCCAATGGGGATGTTAAATCTCTGTGTACATGACTTTGTTTCTACTTGTTTTACACTAAAATATTTTATATTTGCTCCTGAAAGTTTAAATCATCGTGTGGATTTTTTATTGATATAGGCTTTATTATTGGATGTGGATATGCACATAATAAAGCCTGTATCAATAAGTGTTCCTTGTGTGATGTAAGTTACTGAAAAAAAGCCAAAAATTTTAGATTTTAAAAAAAAATCCACAAACTAATAACAAAAACAATTGATTAAACCATAATGCCTATGTTTGTAATTATAATTAAAGTGTTCCCCTAGTCAATGTTATCTAGGGAGAGATTTAGCAGTCAGAATGTACCAAATCTAGTATGGTGGCATTTCAGGATATGCAAAAGACATTTCTGTAAAAAAAATTATCAGTACCAAAACTCACCAAACTAACTATTAAAATAATGGAGTAGATTAAAAGGATAAAAAAATGCTTATCTATTAAATATGTATTGTCCATTTAAGAAAACTGCTGATATGCTAAAAAAACTTGCTTTCTCATTCTGAGTATATTGAGAGGAAATTAATTTCTTATCTAATCACCTTTTACTCTTTGTCATTTTATAGTGCAAACATTTTAATTACAGTTTAATTTTAAAAAGGATGAACAGAACAATTCAAGCTGTAGTGAATTGAGAAAACATCATTTCTCAGAATATTCTAGTTAACTAAAAATTACAGCTTGCTATTTTAATGAGATTTTTGTATAAATTTGATATTAAAAATTTTCCAAATGTGAATTTATGAGTTTAATTTAATAAATATTCTGAATAATTAATATAAATGATCTAATAGTCAAAAATTACATATTTTACATTAAAATACATTAAAACATCTTTAAGAAGTAATGTTTACATCTAAATATAATTATTAAAATGATGCTAAAAGTGATACCTTATATTTTTAAATTTTGTTTATTATAATATATTAATTACTTAATATAAATATTATATTTGTATTTAACAATTATAAAATATTATTAATTTATTAAAATTTAAACAAATATAATAATTTAATAATTTGTTGAGATTTTCAACACATCCCTAATTAGAAAAAGTTTGATGATTTTTTTTTTTTCCTTTTCCTTCTCAATAGGTGCTGAAATATATGCAATTGGAGAGAATAAAGAATATCTTCAGAAATTTGTACCAAGTTTAAATGTCATAGATTCCAGAAATGATAATCTCCTTGAGACATTAGAACAAAAAATTTGTTCAGGTAAATCTAATATAATTTATTTTACAATTTCTTTTTCTTAAATTTTAAGTTTATAATATATTATATATATTCACAGCACCAGCTGAATTTCAGTATTTAGAATGTACGGTACGTAGCAAAATGGATCAGGACTTTTTACTACATATAAATCCTAATGGAGTTCAATATTGGCAAATGCAGCCAAAATACTTCTACAAAAGTTTTGGCTACAAATTAAGGGTAAGGTTTTATCAGTTACGTAAATAAATATAATATATATTATAACATTTAGTAATATAAACAAAGAAAAACTTTTCTTGGAAATTAAATAACAGTATTAATTAAACTTTAGGATTTGCTAAATGGCCAGATCTGAACTTTCATGACTGCTAAGTTTATTAGTAATAAATAATAATGAGATTAAAAAATTTGGTTTAAATTTAAACAATAACTATTAGTAATAACATAATTTGTTTGATTAAATTATCATCTGAGTACAACCATACCTTCTCTACAGTTCCAGAAAAAAATACCATATGTTACAATATATGGTATTAAACCTAATTTTTTGCTGTACTCTGAACTTCCAGTTATGTAGATACAATTTTTCATAATCGTTTTTCAAAAATTGACACAGAAAGATACTGAACTTTGACAAAACATCTCCTCAAACTAATGATCATGTCATTGTCTTATTTCTACTTGCTGAACACAGTGACATTACAAAGCTAAGTGCTTGTTGAAATTTACTGAGAGCAACGGTAGAGTTTTCAGTAATCTCTAAACGTTATTTTTAATTGTTTAATTATAATTTACAGTATGATTATTTGATATTTTCTAAATTAATTATAATAATTTAGAATAAACACACAAATAATATCATCAGTCAAAGACAACAAATCAGATAGTGAATTTTTAATTTTGATGATAAGAAGTGGAAGTTTTCTGCTTACAAGTAAGCAAAATCTCCTTAAATAAAATACCTCACCAGAATATAACATTGCTTATTGTATAATTGTATATTATTCTTTTGGTGGAGTTGGGTGGAACTTTCCATAAATTCCTTTTATTACATATTAAATATTAATATATAGTACATATTACTGTTACATATTAATATATAGTAAATTAATATGGAAACCTGAATATACAGTCAGGTTTCCATATTAAGAACTATATATTATGAATTTATATGTGGAATGTTGGAAACATCATCTACATTTAAAATTTTCTCTGTTTAACTAAGTTTAATTTCTGTATGACAATTTTTTAATAGATGAAATAAAAAATATACTTTCATATTGTTAAATGTAAAGTTTATGGAAATGAATCAGCATTTTAAGCACTGTTGTTAGTACATTACTGTTACTTGAAATTATTCTCTGATATTTTGATACTTAGAATCTTTCTTCTGATCAAAACTGTAGAAAAAAACAGTCAAAAAGGAATTTTTGATTTATTTAAATGAAATTAGATTCATTTGTTTAAAGTAAAATGATTTTGATTAAAAAGAAAGATGAAAGTTACAATTTTTCAACCATAATATTTTTACTCACCTTAAATAAAAATATACCTTCTGTTTGATTCTTTCATGTAAAATGGAAACAACACTTTTTGTTGTTAATATGAGTATAGACTATTTTTGTAGAGAATGAAACATCATTACAATTTGACATGGCTCCTTTTCACTATTTTCATATAACAAATTTTGTATATAATGAAAATTCTTTGTATCTGGAGGTAATCTGTGATACAGAAATTTGATTGTATTTAAAACTGAATAATTTAACTTGGGTGCTGTCCATAAATGACATCCACACAGGAAGGGAGGAAGGGGGTTAGGACAGGTTGGACAAAGTCAGATAAGGGGGGTCAAGATTCAATGGACATCCATTTTATTTCATTAAATTTTATACAGTTTTTGCATTTCATTATATTTATTTCAAAATTTTTTGTTTCTTTTTTAAGGAAAGATTTTTTTAAATATCTCTTTTGAGCTGGTAGCAAGGGTATGACTGATTTTTTTTTATTTTCAAACATTATTAGTAAATTAACAATATATTGTATTAATCATCAACTTCTCTCATTGGTCTACTAATCTTTAAAAAGTTGGTACACTACACGATGGAGAAATTTCTGTAGGTTGATCTTAATCCTAAAGAATTTAGGATTAAGATCAACCTACAGAATTTAGGGTATTTAATTCCTGAATGATATGAAGTTTGTGGGTTTTTGATTACTTCTTTATTTAGGTTTTGTAACTTACATGTAAATATTACTATAATACTGTACTGTACGTACAGTACATAGGTACTAAGTGGTGAAGCCTATGCACACAAACTAACATGCCGAGTGATAGTGTCTAATTATTGTGGGAAGATTATTTCAGGATTCTGATACTATCCAGCAATAATTTGAAAATTAGTTTAGATGATCTTGAGGAAGAGTCGATCTGAAGAATGACATGGCTGATTAACAGATGGTGGAGACAGATATAGACAATAATTACAGCTAAGGGACTGATCAAGGGATGGCTGGAGCATCCAAGGAAGAAATTAGCAATGGCAAATTGAGAACAAATAACAAAAGATAGCTGGCCAATACAAACTTGAGTTGGATCAATTGAGATGGACTGATCCTTCTATCCAGAACTTTACTCTTTACTTATGAATCTCTGAACCCATAACCAAAGAATGACCTCTCTTTATTTGCTCCTCAGAACGTGGCCTCTTTCTTGATGGGTGCACTGTCAAATGTAAACTAAATTTTATTCAAAATTTTAAGAAGAATTTGCAAAGATAAATTTTTTAACAATTTAAGCACAGCTAAGGAAGACAGTCATTTGAAAGGGGTAACCTCTCCAAAATGCTCTACTCTATTTTGGAAAACACTTATAAGATTGTAACCTTTCTAGTAAGTTATAAGAGCAATTTGGATATAATTCTATGGTTTTTACTTATGGTATCTATACTGCATAAAGCGATAAAAGTTTTAAGAGGGGGTTGGTTTTGTTGGATGTCCAAAGAGGAGAGGGGGTTATAGAAACTTGAAGAAACTGAAACAATGGAGTGAGGGAGAGTAAAAATTTCAAAAAAAAATGCAGATGTAATTTATGGACAGTCCATTACTAGAATAATTTGGATTAATACAGGGTGATTCCTATAGATCCAAACCCAAATATTTTATAAATCTTAAATGAATGGAAATCAATAATATTTCCTGGAACTATGCTTCCACTCATGTTGAACACATCAAGTGCTGGAACTGGTGCAGAGGCATGACTTAATCCCTTTTTCTTTAGAGAAATACTGAAAACAATCTTCATATGTGTAGATTTTTACAGAGTTTATTGAACAACTTGATGATATGGAACTGACACAGGGTTACTTCCAACAAGATGGAGCAACTTGCCACACATCACAAGAGTCAATGGTGACAATCCAAAGCTTTTTTGAGGACCATATTATTTTCAATCATTTATGGCCACAGTGGTGGATTTAGCACTTGAGAGGCCCCAGGTGCAATTCAATTTTGAGGCTCCTCTAAATATTTTCATTACCGCTACACCCTACAGTGTGCATCTTACGCGCACATTTTTTACTCTGGTAGGCACTATACTGGTGGTCCAAAAAAGTGAGACAGAGAAATAACATTGAAAATTAACCAATATAAAATTACAACTGCCTGGCTGTATTTAAAAGGTTACTGATGTTCGGATGGTATCAACTATGAAAATTGAAATTTATTAGTACAATAATTATTAAAGTATTAAAAAACGTAAAAGTATTAAAAACGAAAAAATTTAGTAATTCATGGATATAAAAAATAATTTATTTTTAAATTTACTACTGATTTTTATTTTGAGAGCTGAATTTTGAGGCCCCCTTGATTTATGAGGCCCAGGCATGTGCCTCGTGCACCTGTACAGAAATCTGTCACTGTATGGCCACCTCAGTTACCTAATCAAACCAGCCCAGACTTCTTTTTGTGAGACTATCTGAAGGAAAGAGTGTACCACAAATGATTGCCTTAATGGATAACATTAGGAATGAGATTCAAAACATTGATGATGTAACATTGAGACATGTTAATAACATGTAATCACATGTTGGTATGTGTTTGACAGAAGGCAGTGGCCATTTCCAATACTTGCTGCATGTGACATGTTCAATGTAAGTGGAAGTAAACTTCTCATCAATTTCCATTCATTCCTTTAAGATTTATAATAAATTTGGGTTTATATGAATGCCTGTATTATAATATTAATTTATGACTTAATTTTTTTCTTAATATAACTCATTTTCATTTTTAATTTTTATCAATATATGCCCCATCTTACTGTTCAGTTATAAAATACATTTTTTTTAACAAAAGAATTACTTTTTAACTAATAAGGAAGAAAAAATTTCCAGTTCTAAACAATAAATTTTTTCATACTTATTACTTTTCCAGCTGTTATATATATATATAACAGAGAGAAAATATGGTAATTGATCGAAAAAATTATCCTCCAAAATATTTACATTTTTGGACTTGGGACCTTGAAATGTCGAGAAATACAAAAAAGTGTCATATCTCAAGTAGGGTCAGATTGATGATCTTAACGATGATTTTACTCGTTATTAGCAATTACAATTTTTTAAAAAAAACCCATTCCTTCCCTCAAAATTAAGCATTTTGCCAATTTTATAATAATTAATAATAATAAAAGATTTTTAATAAAATATCATAAAAGATGGTGCCACCACAATTTTCAATGTTGTTGCCAGGAAAACTATGCAACTCATTGCTGGATTTTTTTTATAAATGTTATTTATTTTCTTTTAATTATGAATCTGGAAAATTTTTTCTGTATTCATATATATCTAAATTGATTATTATTATTAAATATTTAATAAAATATAATTCATTTATATACTTATTTTTAATTATATTGTTATTAAGAATAACATTTATGCCATTAAAGAAACAAATTTTAATTCATGTGCATTTAGTTCAAACCTGAAAATGGTAACATTAGAGTGTGCTTCAAGAGAATGAAACAATTTAGTAAATCAGATGAAGGTTGTCAAGCAACTACTGAAACGAGTGAGTGAATTTTTCATTTATGTTTCATTTCATTCATTTTCATTTATGTTATAATATGAAAATGAAATATTCATTTTCATATTATAACATAAATGAAAATGAAAATTTATAAATAATATGAAAATGAATATTTCATTTTCATATTATGAATTTATGTTTATGATTAATTAATAAAAATTAATAATGTATTATTTAAAGTCACTGTAATTACTCAGCTGAATTAATCAATGCCCTTTTTAACAGTAAGCAAAGTTTAAAAACACTAATGTTTTCGATTAAATTCAGACAGTCTTCAGATATGGATAGTTGAAAGTTCTTCCTGATAGATACTGACATTTCACTTTCAACTATCCACTCCTAAAGATGGTATGTTACTCAGAGGAGTCATTCAAATATGATGTCTCCAATTTTAAGTACCTGTTGTCTACCTACTCCCTCCCTGTCAGATCTTGTCACCAGTTTTTAGACACCCCCATGCTGATGTCACACTCGACCTGCCATCCTAATATTAAAACCAAGCAATTATGTAAAAGAGATCTATAGTAAATTTATTTATTTATATTTTTTGCCAAGGTGAGACTAATTTTAAAAATATGCCAATAGGAAAAAAAAATGAAAATCACTGATTTATCATAGAAGAGAGTGACAAAATTAGTCAAAATTTATTACAAAGATAATATGTCATATATTATTATCTTTATCTGTATCTATAAAGCTTAAATTCTTGCCATTATCCTTCATATTAAAAGTACAATACTACTAGATTGTTTCCAACAGTATAGCACTTTAGTAAATATACAATGATTTAAATAAGCAAAATCTTGCTGTATAATAGTTGATCAAAATAATCATCTATCATCACAATAATACTGGTGTGTAACTTCAATAAAATAAATACGTAATTATTTTATTAATCAAAATACTTCTGCATAATAATTTTGGTTAAAAAATTATTTCTAATAGCAATGATGTCCTAAAGATTCTCAAAAATTTTCCTTATACTCTTACCCTTATATGTCCCCTCCCCAATATTTGAATGACCCCAGATCAAAAATGTTAATGCTCTTTAAAATTCATTCACTGTTAAAGGTGCATTTAACTTTAGTAAAAAATGATTTAAAAAATTGTCCTAAGGGTTATATGAACAAAACTAGTACAAGAGTTTAGGGAAGGTTTTATTCTTAGAATCATAGAATAATTACATATTAATACACTAGCAAAATACATTAATATCATTAAGAAAAAATGACACAATAGACCTCCAAAACTGCTGGAAAGTAGTGTTAAATGAAATAAACCTAGAAAAAACTAGCTAAAAGAACAAAAAAAAGGAATCAGAATAGGGATATTAGGTCAACACTGTAAGTATAAGTATACCACAGGGTATAAGTATAAAAGCACTATTAAAGGAAGGTCTTATGTTTATTTCATACAGTTACATTGTAAAAAGTTAATGTTTTGTTATTTAATATCTATATTAGTAGAATTTTAAAACATTGTAAAAATTTAAGAACAATCCACTTTGTAAAATGTTGAATTTGAAATTTTTTACACTTATAATTTTATTTTAAACTAAATATTCTAGAATGGTTGTAACAGTATATTTGAATAAAAGCTTCTGAAAAAAGAACAAAAGTCATTAGTTGAAACTGGAGATGGACGGATAGAAGAGAAAAACATCTTTGGTTTTCTTAAATAAAAATAAATAATTTTTTTTAAAACAGTTTGAAGTGATTAAGCAATTCTAAGAATCTATAAATTATTGAATTGCATTTGAAAATTGAGAATTTAATATTTTATAATTTTTCTTTGACTAGTATTAAGAAATTGATTTTCAGATAGCAAAATATTACAAAATTTAATAATGAAATTTTGCTTTTCTAGAGAGAGAAATAGAATTTGTCAATAGAGATCCTTGCAAAGGTTTGTTTTTCTTTTTTTTCATTACTTAACTTAAGTAAATAAATAAAACATTTACAACTTCAGTATTAATAATTTATATTAATGCTCTAATCAGTGGCGTACTCCAAATTTAATCTTGGGGAAGCCAAGTCAAATGGATAAAAAGTTTTTAATGCAAATTCAATAAAATTCCCATCTTGTGTGACTTACTAAGTAGTATAGAAATAGAAGACATGACACAATATAAATAAAAAATTAATTTTAATTAGGAAAAGATTTTTGCAAAATTTTTTAGTATTTGTTTTCCTTTTTCTTTTGAGGTTGCCAGGGCTCCATGGCCCTCTTCTGGGTGCACACCGACTCTAATACTTCATTTATGCTTTTGTTACAGGTTTTGATGCCGTAACTTGCAGTCCATTTTATTTCGGAATCTATGGTGTGGATGACACATCTCTTACAGAATGTACAACAGGTAAGCAGTTTTATTCTAATTAATTAATCTTTACAGATTGATAAACATTATTAATTTGTATTTACAAAACATTGATGATGTAACATTGAGACATGTTAATAACATGTAATCACATGTTGGTATGTGTTTGACAGAAGGCAGTGGCCATTTCCAATACTTGCTGCATGTGACATGTTCAATGTAAGTGGAAGTAAACTTCTCATCAATTTCCATTCATTCCTTTAAGATTTATAATAAATTTGGGTTTATATGAATGCCTGTATTATAATATTAATTTATGACTTAATTTTTTTCTTAATATAACTCATTTTCATTTTTAATTTTTATCAATATATGCCCCATCTTACTGTTCAGTTATAAAATACATTTTTTTTAACAAAAGAATTACTTTTTAACTAATAAGGAAGAAAAAATTTCCAGTTCTAAACAATANGCAATTATTTTTTTTTTGTTAAATAAGTTTAACCATATAAATTAATCAGAATATGTGTCTGTTCTAATTTGATATGCTAAGGGAAAAACTGTTTCATTATTTCATAATCCATTATAAGGAAAAGTTTTCCACAAAGAAATTTATCACATCATTTTACATCAATTAAGTAGATTCAGTGATGTACATTTGTGAAGAAGTATGGATAACTTCCGATAATTATGCTGGACTCTGGCATATTTTTGTTAGTTATTACATAAAGTTATGTCAAACATTGTGCTATTTTGTACAACAGTCTTTGACTATTTTCAAAATAATGTAATTGTCTTTCAATTAAAAAATAATAATAATAATAAAATTCTATCTACAATTTTTAAGCTATTTTATATAATTTAATAAAATAAATTTGATATCATTTTTATGTCATAAGTTGTATTTCATAAATGAAAGTCTGTTACATGATTTATTTATTTTTTCCCCAGATAGGAAGTATTATTGCTTAACCATTTTCCATACTTTTTAGTCATATTATTCCCCTCAATCTTTGCTTTTGTCACCAATGCAGTACGAAACTGGAAACGTTGAGTTTCTTTATTTAGGTAAAATCACAGAAAACAACCTATTAAGATAAATATGTGTCATTTTAAATAAAATGTGTACAGAAGTTTTAAAGTGAGTGAGTTTCTTTGATTCATGAAAGATTTACAGTAAATCTCAAAGATAGTCTTCCACTATGTTCTTGTTTTACTGTCCTTGGTAAGTCTAGCATATCCTGGTGGAAGCATTTCCCTCGGGTAAAAGCGATTTATACCAGGATGCCTATTTGGCATGGAGAGTTTTTATAGATAGATCGTCTTACAGTAAGTCGTTCGTTTCAAGTAATAGCGAGGTTGAGGCCGAAGTTTTAAACGCGAAAACGTGTATGTCGGACGTTCAGCGCCGCTTTCTTATAAGCCTAGAAGTTTGACAATGGTGTTTGGATAGTCAGTGGAATCATGCTCGACATTCCAAACACTACTGTCAAACATCTAGGCTTACAGGAAAGCGGCGCTGAACGTCCGACGTACACGTTTTCGCGTTTAAAACTTCGGCCTCAACCTCGCTAATATCACTTTACTTTTTATTATTAAAAAAGTGATATTACTTGAAACGAATGATCCTTTCTTTAATTTCACCGTAGAAAGAACTATAATATTTGATTATTTCATATAAAATAAATATACGATATTTTGTTTTGGGCACGTAAATTCATAAAAGTTCGCAAATTTAATATATACGTCATTTTAATTAATGTTTAAGTAAATTAAATTATAACATCTATATTTAAGGAATAAATATTCTTTTATTTTCGTATTAAGTGTTGTATTAATTAATTTAGATAATGTTGAATCGATTTAACTCTTTTACCGAGTTTATAAAGTACAGTAAAGGAATATCTGGAATTTTCTCCGTTTCCGGAAATATTTTATTTATAGAAATCCAATTAAAATTTATTTAATACTAAGTTTAAATTCGAATTCCACAGTAAAGCGTATCATAATTGGGTTTTATATTATGCAAATATTCGTAATTTTAACTAAAATATACTCTCAAGACTGGATGACGTACGTAACAGTGTCTGATGGTCTACTCAAAGCCAACATAGTCTTTTCTTTCTTTCTTTATCTCTATGTAATACGTCTCTGTAATCCAACAAATGGTAGACGGACTCACAGCAAATTTTCAGTTAGGAACTATAATTTTATTCTCAAAATTGACAAATGCATTTCAGGTTGGCTCGCTGAAAATTTGCTGTGAGTCCGTCTACCATTTGTTGGATTACAGAGACGTATTACATAGAGATCTAATACAGTAATACCTTGACTTACGCGATTTTCAAATCTCGTCGATTCGTCTTTTGTTTGAGCGCTACGCAACCCTTGATTACTCACTTCCCCCACACTATTGTTCAGCTTACATGTTCGAATGTGTCGCGCGGAATCGACACATAGCTACAATTTATTTTGTGTTATTTATTTCTGTGTTTGTTATATCTACGGAGACTCGAGCGACTCTACTGTGTCATCCAAACGAAGTAGAACTAATTCTTCTGCATCAAACAAGAAAAGAAAAACTTTATGTTTGGAATGTAAAGTTAACATTGGGCATGTTCGTAAAGTCGAACGAATTAAGCGAGAATGAAGTCATCTTTATTCCTATTTCGTTAGACTTTTCGAACGATTCGTTACTAACGCGTTTAACTCGTTTGACTTTACGAACGTACCCATTATTAACAGTCTAATCCATTCTTTCAGAATTCAGAGCTCATAAATATAACCGATCAATTTCCGAATAATCATCTGTTTTTCCCGTTTTTCGTGTGGGAATAGACGAAAACTTATATCAGGCTCTTGTAAGGCTTTGAAATTGCAATTTGGAACCAACAGTAAGCGTTCCTTTTTCTATCGCTTTTCATCTTTACTGCTGATTATACACAAGAATGAATCAAACGACCCAGATAGAATAGTTTTGTTTTTAAACACCAGAGGGCGAACATCCGGTGAAATTGGGTTGAACGCCACCTGTACGCAGGCAAAGAGAATTGCTTCGGGGGAAACACGTGTGTCTTTGTGTTGGATACGTACTGAAACGAGGTGCTTGTTTTCTTCCTGTAATAATGAACCACAGCTTTCTGCCGCACAAAACTTCAAAAAATAACTGTTGTGTGGTCGGTTGTAGTCTTACATATATTACTGCGCCTCCAGGTACAAAGTTTTATTCGTTCCCGAATGGACAATACATTGGGAGGAAAAAGAAATGGCAAGCTGCAATTGAGTAAGTATTCTGCTTGAGTATTTTTTTTTTAAAGTTGTATGTGTAACTGTGACATTTAGGCCCTGTACACACTAGGCGTTTTTCAACGCGCGTTTAACGCCGAGCTAACGCGCGTTAGCTCGGCGTTTAGCACTGGCTCAGTTTGGAAATGGACGAGAAAGTAATTGATTGTGTGTGCTCCTCCATCGTCGCTATAAGGCAGCACATATATCTCAAAGCGCCCGTAAAGTGCCCGCAAAACGCGCGTTTTAACAAAAATCTATAAACGCGCGTTTAACGCGCGCTTGGCGTTTGAGTGTGTACGGCTACATAGAACTCTTGGTTCTTTAAAACGCGCGTTGAAAAACGCCTAGTGTGTACAGGGCCTTAAAGTCATTGTAGTGTAATTATCTCTGTAAATGGCTAGGGTGCTGTTTTTAGCGGTAAATACGTGTAATCCACTTTATATTACTACCCATTGCTTGCGTAGTGCATTTCGTAATAACTCATTAAAAAATAGCAAAACATTTCGTATTTCTGAAAATCTAAAATCCTGATAATAAATAAGATAATTTAAAAAATGCTTAATGATATCATTACTAGCCATTGGACACTATTAAAGATCATTTCAAGTAATTCATTATTCAAAAAGTGACCAAAGTCGCCTGATAATTGTAATATATGTAAAATTAAAACACTTTTCAGAAAAGATGGAAAACCTTGACAACCCACAAAGTACAGCAAAGTCTGCAGTCTGCATTTTGTAGGTGGACGGAAAATTGATCACGCTGACCATCCAGCATACTTCCCACACTTTTCTGACATGCTACAAGAAATGGGGTTGTGGAAATGATAGGTTTTTAAGACAGGCAAGAAGGAAAGAAGAAAAGGTGGAAGAGAGAGAGGGTAACAGCATGGATGTAGACACCAAAACTACATCTGTGATCACCAAACATACCACTGGAACACAAACTGATGTAGGGGAACCACTTTATAGTACAGATAATATTACAGTCTTATTTTGTGAAAAGTCGTGTCATGGTGTGGGTACCCAAACTAATATTTATTGTAAAAAGCTGTTACCTAAACCTAATAACCAAATAGTATATAACCAACAACTTCTCCAGTGATGTACGTTGAACCTCGATTCACATTTGGATCTGTGTTCTTGTCCAAGGAAATCTCTATTAGTTTGGAAACGTGTCCATATGTGAACAGTTTCTATCCTTTCTTTAAGTTACTTTTCCTTGGAGTTTCAGTAGATATAGCATCAAAACCGCACTGCCTTCTAAGAACCATTATTTGTTCACTCCAAAAAGGAGAAGCACCTGCCACCTTTGTAACCCCAAGTCTGTTTCCCTGGCATCACTGCTGAAGGAATGGCGAAACTAGATCGAGGTGAAAGCCGTTCCTTCCACTAGCTCTATAGTCTTGGCAGAGTGATGCGACCTGATTTCAGGGGCTGTATCTCACACAAAGGGTTATATGTAGAGGTATGGTGCCTTTGACTTTTTTGCTCCTATAGGTATAGCCTATAGCCCTGATAAGGTCCCAATCATCTCATTCAGAGATGTAATTGCACCTGTAAATGGGCCTTTTTCCCATTAAGGGTTTGGTAGGGTCTACAATAAGGGTAGCTGAGTGGTAAGGGAAAAGGCCCACACATCTGGAATAGTGTTCCTGTCCTTGAAAGATTCCTGGGAGTTGCTTGCTTGGATTTGATTCCAAGTTTCCTAGAATGATAGGCTGATACCTTAGCCACCTGATATCTATATAAGAATACTGCTGATATTATGTTGT